TGAAGGTGAAACAAATGGCTTTATTAAAAGTTTGCCATGAGTTTAGGGATATATTTTACAATGAAAATGAAAAGTTAACGTTCACTAATATCATTAAACATGAAATAAAAACTACTGATGAAATTCCAGTACATACAAAAATTATCGTTATCCTTTTGTTCACAAAGAGGAAGTTCAAAGACAGATAAATAAAATGTTAGATGATGGAATTATATGTCCTAGTCAAAGTCCTTATAGCTCACCTATCTGGATCGTTAGTAAGAAGATGGATGCTAGTGGGAAACAAAAATGGAGAATAGTGTCAGATTTTCGAAAGCTTATCGAAAAAACAATAAGTGATCGATATCCATTACCTAATATTAACGATATATTGGACAAGTTAGGCAGATGTCAATACTTCAGTACTTTAGATTTAGCTTCCGGATTTCATCAAATAGAGATGCATCCAAATTCTATCGAAAAAACAGCTTTTAGTGTAGAACATGGATGTTACGAGTATACCCGCTTACCATACGGTTTGAAAAATGCCCCAAGTATATTTCAGAGAGTAGTTGACAATATTTTACACGGACTACAAGGCAAAATTTGTCTGGTGTATACGGACGATATTATAATTTTTCCACTAGTCTTGAAGAACATATTGCAAATTTGAAATTAGTATTTCGGAGATTAAGGGACACACAACTGAAAATTCAACCAGACAAATGTGAATGTTTATGCAAAGAAGTTGAATATTTAGGACACGTAGTTACTTGTGATGGTGTAAAACCGAATCCCAAAAAGATACAAGCAATAACACAATTCCTCATTCCAAAAACAGTTAAAGAAATCAAATCCTTCCTAGGTCTTTTAGGTTATTATAGACGTTTTATTGAAAATTTTGCCAAATTAACAAAACCACTTACGAAATGTCAAATTGAACATACTACAGAATTTATAAAAGCCTTTGAAACTCGCAAACATATTCTCACCAACGAACCTATTTTACAATACCCCGATTTTGAAAAGCCCTTTATTTTAACTACTGATGCCTCAAATTACGCAATAGGTTGTATTCTTAGCCAAGGAAAAGTAGGACAGAATCGACCGATTGCCTATGCATCACGAACTCTGAATCCAGCAGAATGTGATTATAGTACAATAGAGAAAGAATTATTAGCAGTAGTATATGGTGTGAAATACTTCAAACCATATCTATGGGGACGTGAGTTTACCATAGTTAGCGACCACAAACCCATCGAATATTTGTTTAACATGAAAGAACATAACCCCAGACTTTTACGTTGGATACTGTTTCTTGAACAGTTCAACTACAAAATTCAATATAAACAAAGCAAATAGCAATGTCGATGCTTTATCTCGCGTAGATCTTAACGCCATTCAAGATGAAACGGATCAATCAATAATTGCAAATCCTGGAGATTCTGATGAAGATATTCTTCAGTTTCTACAAGACGATGATAACCCCGAAATAAATATTGAAGCCTTACAAGAACTACAGGAATTTCTCATCCCTGAAGTTCCTGATAACTCTAACAAGATAAAAATAATTTCGGATATCCAAATTGTACCCCCTCAGCCAAGTGATGACAGTATTATAGTCCAAACAGCAGTAGAAAACCCCATATTAGAGATACCTTTCACTGAATATGTTACTAATAAATTTTCTAATCAGATAATTATTGAACAGAAATCATCTTATCGATATCACATTGTAAGGACTAAGCCCTTCAAAAATGTCAATAAAATACAGTTACAGCTTAGTGATAACATAGAGGAAGAAATCATAAAGTTTTTCAAGACTATGTTGATCCAAACAAAGTATATTGTATTTTTATCAAAGGTTCAGAAATCAAAGATTTAGATATCCAGATTATCAAAATACTACCTTTGTATTTCAAAAACCACGCATATAAATTTTTCCAATCAGCTTGTTAGAGATGTTTCAGACAAAGAGAGACAAAAAGAATTAATTTCTCATCATCATGAAACAAAGACTTGTCACAGAGGAATTAACGAAACGTTACTTTCCCTTAAAAAACTACTACTGGAAGAATATGCAAAAAATGGTAACAGAATACATAAATAATTGTGAGTTATGCCAAGTAGCAAAGTATAACAGACATCCACCAAAAATAAAATTTTCACTCACACCAACACCAAAGCAACCCCTAGAAGTCTTACATATGGACACTTTTCAATTTTCTAACACAAAATTTCTTACTGTTATTGGTTCACTTTCAAAATAAGCACAATCGTATCATTTAGATCCAGTTTGTATAGCCACAACAGTGTATGAAAATATTTTGATATTTGTGAACCATCACGGATACCTCAGTCAATTACTACTGATAATGGAAGAGAATTCAATAATTCCTTATTTACAGAATCTTGTAAATTACACAAAATCCACTTCACTTTACTACACCATGTAATTCGAACAGCAACAGTCCAATAGAACGATTACATTCAACTCTCCTGGAACTCCTAAGAATTCTAAAAATCAAATTTCCAAAATTATGCCCAAAAGAACTAATGCAAAATACAATTCTGGCATATAACACGTCAATTCACAGTGTTACAAAACAACGACCATTCAACCTTATAAATGGCCGCTTAGATGTCCTGGATCCATTTGACCTATCAGATGAGATCATTGTCAGCCAATTTATTGATGATAGACGTGAAAGACTAAAATTTATTTACAACAATATACACCAAGTAACAGACGCTCATGAAAAGAATATTATAGAAAAGCGTAATGAAACTAGAGAGGATCCTTCCAAATTTCCCCAAGGTTCAAAAGCATATGTCAAAGATAAAACCGCTTCTTGGAGTAAATTAAAACCACGACTCACAAAAACTGAAGTTAAGAAAGATTTAGGTACCAAAGTACGGACTACAAATAAACGCAAAGGTTTAGTACACAAATCTCAAATTCAAAAACCTAAAGCTTATTCTTCTTTTCCGCAGGAAATCAAGAAGATTCCGATAGTCATTCTATCCCTTCTACTAGTCACGACAATCAAAGCCAACAATGACGCAATTGTCACACCCGTAAAAGCCCCGCTTTTCCCTTATTCGCTAGGTAACGCTAGTATTATATATATATATATATATATATATATATATATATATATATATATATATATATATCGTATCATCTTTTATTCACTTTGTAGAAACTACTTCATTAACAAGACAGATTACGAATATCCAAAATTACTACGAAAGACTCCAAAATACGCTCAAGCCTTTAAATGCTGATCATTCAACTTGCACTTTGGATTTTCAAATCTCCTTAAGCATACAGAATTTCTAATACAAGAAGCTACGAAAAAATTAAATAACATTGTTCCACGTATTCGTCAGAAACGAGGATTGATTAATCTCGTAGGAAAAACTTCAAAGTTTCTTTTTGGACAATGGACTCAGATGACGAAATCAAAATTAATAATGCACTTAATGAATTACAAAAGAACGCAAATTCTGTGCATAGTCAACTGAAACTTCAGACAATTACAATTCTACAATTTCATTATTGAATTCTAATCAGGTACAGATCAAAGCGAAATTGTATCATATGCAAAATGCGATGAATGCAACTGTAGGAAGCTTGACAGCTTATCTTCACGCTGAAAATATTTTGCAGCAACTTAATCTAAATTGTCAAAATTTGATTACATTTTTAGATAATTTGGGAGACGCTATAATGTTTTCAAAATTGAACACCTTACATAGTTCATCATATCAGTTACAGACTTAGAGAAAAACATAAAGTATTTAGTAAAATTATATGATAAAAAGAAAGTACCAAATTTTCAAAATTTACAATCACATTATTTAGTAGCTAATCCACAAATTACATTTACTGATAATAAAATCTTCTTTTCTATAAGATTTCCTATATTATCTGATGAAAAATTCCAATTTTTCAGTCTATATCCAGTTCCTATTAGAAATTCAACCATTATTCCAACCCATTCCTTTTTGGCTCTTGGAACAAGTCATCAGCAATTTGAAGAAGAAGAATGTCCAGAAATTGAAAACGTCTAGTTCTGCAAGAATCGACAAGAACCCATCCAAGGTTGCCTAAACGAGTTACTGAAGAAAGCAGAATTTTCAAAACGCCAATTCACAAGGTTACAAGTATCCAGTCCTATTGTTGAAGCCACATCAGCAAAACACATTTTGGTCATTCCCCCTGAACAGCCAATCACAGCAGTCAAGTTGTGTGGTACTCAACAACCACTTATTTTAGAAACGCCAAATTTAGTCGAAATACCCGAAAATTGTGGAATACAAATCAACTCATCCAAGTTTTGGAACAAGGAAGATCGAGTCAAAGGAAACCCTTTGGTCCTTCCAGAAATAAAATTTTGGAATGCACGATCGAACTTTGTGTCCAAGAAAGCTTTGACCCTCAAGACTATTGACGTCGGCAAGATCAAAGAGATGCAAGAAAAAGCAAATTTTCTTCAAATGCAAGAAGAAGCCGGTATTGATCCCCTAATTTGGTTTTCTAGCAGCTAAGTTTTTACTATTTTTCTGCTTGTTACAGTAGCAGTAACCTTTTGGTATATTTAGAGAACACAAATCCAGAAGCAAAACGATCTATCCCAAAACACGAAAGATGAAGAAAATCCCGAATCCAGTGAAGAAAGGCCAATGAAAGATGCAAAAAGAAGAAAACACCCTGAAAACAGAAAGCGTTCCTATTCAGTTTTCAGACTAGGTGGGGAGGAGCTATGATGCAGACAAGGATGTATGTCGAAGAAGAAAATGCTGAGGAAAGCATCCGAGCCTGAGATGATAAATAGAGGTTCTTCATGCTTTCCCACAGATTCCTCGTTTGTTCGTCATATTGTACATTTTATGTATTGTAAAATATTTCAAGTTAGTTTTGTAAAGTAAAATAAAATTTTTAAAAACCCGAACGGCCATTTCGGCAACATATCTTATATATATATATATTATAAAAATGAACTAAAACCACTAACCTCCAATTATCAGACTTGATATTCTCCTTGATAAACGGCAGCACATGCGGCACGATCTCATCCTCGCAGCACGTCGCCAGCAACATTAAGCACACGCCAGCCGCCTTGCTAGGGTTCCAATCGTCCTCGTCGTCGAGCTCCTCTTGCTTGGTGAGCTTCTGGAGGAGGATGGGAACGATGTACTGCAGTGCTCCCTTGGCGTAATGGCGAGAAACGCGAGCGGGCGGTCGACCTGCTTCGGCAGCTTCCGTGTCTTCGATCGCCAGGTCAACTTCTTCGTCGGACACGTTCGACCAGAATTCGATACCCTGGTAAAAAAGACGTCAAGTAGATTAATTCAGTAGAGTAAGATTCCAGTGCTAACAGACATTACTTCTTTTCTAAAAGACAAAACGTGGGGCGTTGAATACACATCTGTTGATTCAGTTGTTCATTCGGATTGACAGTCTAAAGTGCGGACTATGGCATCGTGGTCACGTAGCGTAGTGATATAAGGGCAGTTTTATGGTATAACTTTATGCGTGATTTAAGCATAGACCAGTGCTCAAAAGATATGACGCTTGCCTTAAAGAATGATTGGCCTCATCGTACGACTATATTCAGGTGGTACAGAAAATTCCAGGGAAGGGAGGCCGCGAACGTCAGTAACACAGGAAAACATTACTGCTGTGAGGAAAATGCTTGATGAAGACTGAATAGTGACATACCAACAAGAGGAGACCTTCATGCAACAGCAATTCATTTAATTCTTCATAACCATTTACATGTAAGGAAACTTTGTTCTCTCTGGGTACCACATAGTCTGACGGAAGAGTTGGTGCCGAAAGATGCTGAAAATGTTTGATAAGGGGCAATCTCAGTATGTGAACAGCATCGTGACAGGTGGCTCTATTATAACGATGTGCCTACCAAGGCTCAAAACAAAGTTTGGGTCTTTGATGATGAGGACACACCCGTAGCTGTCAGAAAATCCCATCTGTTAAGAAACAAATGATAGCTTTATTTTTCAAATCGAGCGGAATTGTGGAGCGTGTCGTTTTGGAAGAGACAGTCACACCTAAGTGGTACATGGAACCATGCCTGCCTAAAGTCATAGAGTCTATGACAAACCTGCGGCCAAAGTCAAGAATGGACACTTGGTGTCTCCACCATAACAACTCTCCAGCTCACCGCGCCAAAGCCTGCACCGAGTATCTGACCAGTTCTGGACTGAAACTTATTGAGCACCCTCCTTACACTCCAGATGTTGTTCCCTGCGACTTTGCACTATTTCCGCATGTGATAATGAAACTAAAAGGAAAATGGTTTTCTAGCGATGATGACCTTCTGAGGGTTTGGGACATCGAGTGTGCCGCACTCCCAGGTGAAACTTGGCAGAGCTGGTTTAAGAACTAGTTTTGGCGGATGGAGAACTGTATTGAATGTGAAAATTACTTTGAATGAAGTCAATAAATAAAGCTGTATTGCAAACCTTTTATAGTACCCTTTGTACTTTGGACAAAGTGTAACAAAGTATTGCCCAGTACCGCCAGACGCTTCCCGCCAAACATATCTTCTGCCAGATGCTTTAAACTCGTTTGTATGTCAACTTAGGGAAAAAGTTTCATATAAAAATTATAGACTATTTTTAAAAGTAAAGCAAAATACAAATTACTTACCTGTAGTGCGACAGCATCGTTTTCCGATTTCATGGCTTCTAGAGTAATTGGGAATAAAGCTGGGGCCATGTAAGGCTCCATATATTGATAGTACAGTGACATTATTTTCACTAAACATTGCAGTGCTGCTACTTTGATTTGTGAATCAGGAGACTGAGTTGCTTCACAAACAACCTACAAAAAAATAATTGTTCATCAATTCAAAGTATCGAGAATATCTCGTAAAATATGTTATAATTTAAAACTAAACATACCATAACTGATTAAATGACCAGCTATGAACGTTTGCATTGAAAATGGGCATATCATCTTATCTATACCATGATTTTTTTTAGATATTAAATTATTTTTTATTTAGATTTTGTTTATTTCAAGTCATGTTATGACAATATGTACTGGTATCTATCACAACCAGTCATTTGACCTACTATGTTAGGAATAGATATGTATCAAGTGTTGATATAATTAGTGTTAACTATAATATTTAACAAATAAGGAAAAATGGGTTTACTTAGAGAAATTAAGTCAAGCAAGTTTTTTAATATGTGATGTTACCTCCATAATGTAATTTCGCTCTGTAGGTTGATCAAAATTCGCCTTTGTGAACTCCAATGAATTTAAGAGAGCTTGTGTTGCTGCCAACCTCACATGATTGCTTGGTTCTGAGTTTCTCATTCCATGTACTGCAATAAAACAAACATTATAGTATCCGTTTATCAATCTCAATCAGGAAGTCACAATATTTCTTTAAACTGTGGTCATCAACGAAAATATAAAAAATGGTTTTTAATCAAAGAGTAAATAAAATTCTGTGACAGAATCTTGGCCACATTCTCTGAATTACAATGAAATTTTCTAACTCTCAACTTTCAGAAACTATAACCACATGGTCTTGGTGGAAAAAAGACTTCCCATTTTCGTGACGCCACTGATTATGGGCATTTCACTTTGCTTGAGTGATGTGACAACATATTAAACCAGAGAAGGAAAATGGTACCATTGCAAGCATTGGTAAAGTTCGAATGGGTGGATAATCAACCACAACTAACCTATTGCCGTGAGTATATCGTTGGACTGCGCGACGAGCACATCAGAATCAATTTCCTGGCAAATGTACCCGATCGCCTCCAAGGTAGCCTCCTTCTGGATTTCAGTGGAGTTTGCTTGGCATACATTGCTGACCAAGGTGGATATCAAGTCTGGCCATTGATGCTGCGGCAATTCGGCAACGGCGATGTAAGCAACGCACTGAGCAGCAGATGACGGTCGGTTCGTTTCTGTGCCTAAAGCGCCCACAACCTGACGAAAAACAAAATTTAATGAGTTTTTAAAATGAAAGTGGGTTAGTATTATGTTTAATTTATAATTGTGAGTTACACAGAATCAGTTATAATTGTCAGATCAAGTTGCAATTAACTACAATTGTCAGTTACAAGTTGTATTTAGATGTAATTGTCAATTAAACTGACAAGTGTAAACAACACATTATAAGTGTTCCCTATAAGTTCTTGGTCTGCAAAAGAAAGAAGCTATGTAACTATGGTAATAGACATATTCTATTATCCAATGCTTGACTTTGATACACTTTTTGTAGTGATGGATATGCCTTTATAAGCTATAATGATAGTCACAAGTTTTAAAGTCAAAATGGCGAAATAAATAATAGTCTAATGGGGTCATGTCAGAGCTGTAAGGCAGGTGATCAAGTTATCCAAGATCTGTGATAGCAACTTGAACAACTCAGCAGTATGCATTATAATAAAATAAGTTTCCGCCTTTTTTACTCTTGATAATGCATGAAACGTGCTGCCATGTCTTCCAGTTCCTTATACAGCAACATTTGTTGCACTCACTGTTTCTTCACTAAGAGAGTTTCACGAATATACCACATAATTTGAAATGACATTTCTCCTTATCAACTTAGATGAGACAGGAAGATTTCTGTCTCATATTGAAGATTTGAAAGTTACATGAGTAGCAGCCACTGAATGTCTCAATGGTCCCCTTGTAATCTTTGATCAGCAGGTGTTGTCAAATTCATAGCTCTTAGACGTTGTTCATATGTCGAATCTCTGGTGGAATTCGCGTTATTTTACGGTGCAGTCTTTCCAGTATGTAACCAAAGAAATTAATTCAGCAGCTTTGTATGTTCTAAGTAACTTAAATGTATAATAAAAAGCATCTACGAGCCCCTTCCCACTTCAGTTGGCCCACTTCAAGATTTGTACCAAAGTATGCCTTTATAAACTAAACTATTTACTTCTAAAACAATTTATTTTCTCAAAAACATTTTAGATACACTCTAGTCGTAAAAAATACATATTTGAAATCATTTAGACCTATAACTAATAGAACATCTGAACAAACAAACAATGTGCGAATAAATGCGCGAAGTTAACAAAGCAACAATTGAAAGATTACCATTGGGTAACATCACCTTTATTTTTTATTACAGCTGAAATTCATTGGGGCATAGTGTTAACCAAGTTTTGGCAAAAATTTCTGTAAAACAATCAGATATTTCTTGAAGCTTTTGTCTCAGTTCGGTGATTGTACGAGCAGGATGTTGTCGTAGAACCTTTTTCATCTCATGCCACAAAGTTTCAATAGGTGACAGATCTGGACTGCTAGAAACCCATTTCAAAAGTGGTACATTATTTTCTTCCATCCATTTTATATCCTTTTTTGAGGTATGGCACGCTGCACCATCTTGCTGAAACATAAAATCTTGGCTGGATGTCAAACATTCTTCCATCACTGGTAAAAGCGATTCTTATAAAATCGCCAAATATTTGTTTGTATCCACATTTCCATCAATAAAATGAAGTGTTCCTACTCCTTTTGATGACATTCTGCCCCAGACCATAATGAATGCTGGAAATTTCACTTTTCTCTTCAGACAGTCAACATGGAATGCTTCATTTTTTTTGCGAATAACTCTACTGCGACTGTCACCAACACAAACTTCGAATCGGGCCTCATCACTCCATTGTATTGCACACCATTGTTGAGCTGTCCATTGTCTATGTTCTTTAGCCGATCTAAGCCGATTTTTCTTTTGCAGTGGAGTTAATAGTGCCTTTTCTTTGGTGTGCAACTTTAGGGTTTTTACTTCACTTTTTTTTATAAGAAAACTTACCTTGCAAGTGCTAAATCCCAGTTTGTTGGCCTCTCTACGAATTGTGGACCTCAAAATTCTCCTTCCAACAGCGTCACTCCACAGAGCACTTAATTGTAAATAATTGGCATGCCTGTTTTTCACGATTATTCTTCTTAATGCTCTTCGGTCGGCATTTGTGATATAACTTTTTTTCACATATCGTGGCTTAGTATTAACTGAGCCAGTTACGTTATATCTTCTAACAATATTTCTCACACTGTACCGTGATAAGTCTAACAAAGTTGCAATTTCTGAGTTTGACTTCCCAGAATTAAAAAATTTTATTATCACTAACCGAATTTTCTCACTAATGACCTTTCCTCTACCCATTTTGAAAACCTTAACTACCCAAAACTATTTTAAACGTATTCTGACAGCTGTGATTAATAAAAACAATTGTCATGGCTTTTATTTTTCACAGCCACCTATGCGTTATAGACTTATTTTGCATTGAAATGAAAATAGGTTGATATGCTGTAATTGCAACATGTGTTATTTTTATGCTGCAAATTTGATTAGGGAGTGATAAAGTTGGTGTTTTCTACTATATATTATCAAAATATTCATTGTTAATATCTTAAACCTATAACACCCTGCTATATTTTTATTATTTGTGTTTGATAAGAAAAAAACTAAGATTTCAATAGTTGGGCCAACTGAAGTGGGAAGGGGCTCGTATTACATGTCTATTGTGTATTCTGACCTCAAATATTTAGTGCTCTATTAGGAATCATCTTGTTGATGCTCAACGCATCTATATCATGCAAAAGAGAATGATGTTCTGATTGCACCATTTGGAGTCTTGAAGAAAAATATTTTGAGGATAAAAGTATTCTAATGTTGCCATCATTACCTTTTTAAAGGCGTGCTCTCAGGAATAATAACAACGTCCTATTCAACAAGTATACCCTCAGCACATTCTGTAGTAGCACTCTGACTACGTTTGTGGATCAGTTTTCAATAATTTGCCCTCCGAGTTGAAAACAATCAATTATTTGAAACTTACTTGAAATATTTATACCCTAAGCATTTTCATTATCTGCAAGAGTATTACATTTCTTAATAAATACATATTTATCTATTTTATTCGTTGTTTTATTCATTAAATATTGAAGCTGATTATTTTTTTCTATTTTACTATTTATATATTCCAAACCATGTTTTTTTGTTACTTATTTATATATAGTCGGAATCACGAAAGATGACGATTACGTAGTAAAGACAATCGACAGCGATTTGTGAATATTTTTAAAGAAGTTTCAGATATGTTAGACAGAGACAAACAGAATTTTATTGTCTAAACAAACTGTATTGCTAATTTGCATGTATCTGACAAAAATAGACAATGTTTTCATGTTGTATGATCGATCATATTTGAAAGATGAATAGTTAGGTTATGTTAAAGCAGGTTAGGTTGTTTTCGAATAATACTTTGATATTTGGTGTTCCTGCCTTAAGGAATTCTACTCATAACTGTATGTTTCAAAACAAAAACTCCCCACTAAAATTATTATTACGGTATCACCCAACCTAACATCACAATACAAATTTGTTGTCATTATCTTCCTGACATCGTGATTTTACGTACGTCCATTGATTACGTCAGTACAATTTGTGGTATGACGTAATAGTCATGTTTCGTGATTTTGACTATATACTTAATCATCTAATCTGGGCTTGGCTTGGTCCAGAGATTGTGCTTCATTTGTCAAAAATTTTATTACTGCACAGTATTCAGCTTTCAACAAAGTGAAAATCAAAACAACGCATACGAACGACCATACCACTGTGGTATGGTCGCCAAATTTTGTTGATGACACTAACTCCATTTAAGAAGTGCAACATAAAATTTTAAAACACGCAGCTAATAAAATGGGTCGAAGTCAGAATGCTTTAAAACTAAGGAGTACCTTGAAAATCAACTCCTTGAAATGCTGCATGGTATTTTTTGATTTTTGTTTTCTGGTTAAAATTGTTAATGGTTTCATAGATTGCCCAGAGGTGTTTGCACAAATAAATCTCAATGTCAATAAACGAAGAACTCTCAATACAGTTCTGTTATGTTTCCACATCATTCTATATTAATTTTTATTCTAATTATGGTTAAATAAACCAGTTACAAGAGTTCCTAGATCTGGCAATGTCACTGTAAGTTACAACATAGATGTTTTCAACAGCAATAATAGGCACATGGAAAATGTGTCTATTTAACTTTGGTTTGTTAGGTTTTATAATCATAAGTAGATATATTAATAAAATATGCATAATGAATTTAAATTTGAAACTGTATGCTATAGCACATTAAAATAATTGAAAAATTAAAAATGATGTAAACAACAATATTCAAAAAGATCCATTTTAACGGTATTAACATCCACAATTTAAAAATTCGTCAGTAGAATAAAGACATTTATCAGTTAGATAATTGAAAACCATTCATTTAAAACTATAGTAGATATCAATATCTCTCAAATCTCTAGTGTAACATAGAGTCATAAAATCACTTAATTTTAACTTGGTGATTCTTGTATTATAATCATGCTGTTGATTTTGCATTTCAAAGTTGTTAATCTTTCATTTAACATGATTTACACATTTATATATAAAAATACAAGATAAAGTGGGCAGCTTGTTGTCAATAAACTCATGCCTGCAAGTTTTCCTAAAAGTGAGATTGAATAATAGTCAAACGTTTTTGTGAAACAAAGACTCTGCCAGTTGCTCTACCTCAGCTCAGCAGATAGTAAAGATATAATAGAGATTTTTCATCTAAATATTTTTTCATGTGAAATAATGCAAAGAAGCTTTTGTTTAAATTGCAGCAGATTGGTGACTGAAGGAATCATTTTTTAATGTGAGAGTTGATTGCAGTAGTTTTATTTTTATTTAATATTATGGGAATGGGAAAAAGTAAATAAATAGATAAATAAATTCCATATGTGACTACTGAAATAATACACTATTTGTGAGTATAAATGAAGACTCCATTAATATTATGCAGAATTTTTACGATAAATTTCTATGACCGAATTCAGCAACTATAAGAAACTGCCATGCACAATTGTATCGCATGGCTGGTCCAGTGTGTTTGTCTGGATCCTCCTCAGCAGCCAAATGGTAGTTAGCTGCAAGGATGCCAGGATGTTCTGAGCTCGATGTCTGTTATGTGAGAGCAAACTCCTCATAACAAGTCACTTCACTGTGTATTTGCAAATTTCTTATTTAGTAATATAATTACACTGTACATATGATTAAAAATGATTTAAAGTTATGTATTGAAGGTTAAATATGGTATTACATCTATCATCCATCAACTGGAGACTCCAATGCAAGAACTAGTTACGTTCATTGAAGTAATTCTTTTAAGAACACAAAAACTAATGCCTGCTGTTGTTTCATATTGCACAACTGATAATTTCTGCTATTATATCAGAACTTTGAACTAAGCATAAACAAGTGGATAACTCAGTTTGATTAAAATTAGACTTGACCAGCTCTTGCATTGGAAATGGTATGGAAGAGTATGCATTATAGGAGTATGAGTATATAGATGAATGAAATTTAGACAGTACAAATCGCTATCTATTACCAGAACCAAGCATGGTTACATCTATATTACTATATATCAATGTATGATTCATAGGGTTGTTAAAAGAATATGCTAAAACCACATCAAATTACTTACATTTTTCTTTATGTAACTTCGTATGTCATCAGGAAAAGAGAGCCAACGATGTTGATAAGTCTGTTTGATGTTCGGATCCTTAGATGTTAACTGGTTCTTGAGCTGTAGACCTGCAGCCATTCTTGCAACAGGGCTGTTTCCCCCATGTCTCAGAATCTCTGATAGTGTTTTAATAAAACCTAGGACGTTTGTTGAAGCCGCTTGCTCGAGGAAGGAGGATGCCTGTTCCAACTCATTTTTATCTGATAAAAAAGAAAAGTTAACCAAACTTGCATGATGTGTATCGTCATCGATTTATTACAAAAAAATGTCACGGAAAAGTTGCTGATGTTGGAAATACAAGTATAAACAGTTGGGATAAGGTACTTACCAGGCGAAACGGTCTTTTCTAAGATTTGAATGAGTTGCGGAGTTTCTTGATGCATTGTGATAAGCCTGTTGTGATGAAGAGGGGTTACTTCTCCTTTCTTCGCAGTATCGGATCACGAAATGAATATTTGCAATACTTACAATAAATTAACAAACGTATAAACGCAATTATTGACTACTGAAGTAATCTTGAGTAATCTCAAATCCTCGTCCTTTTTTCTTTCAGCAAACACGGCACACGTAAATCGGAAGAAAGAAAGAACGGTCCAATCACAGAGCCATTGCCAATTGTCAATCAAATCAACTGTCAAAGCTATTTCCGAGTAGCAAATTTGAAATGATGAAATCTCATTGGCTACCATATCTGTCATTCGTTTGGAAGAAACTCGGCCACAAATAGCGTATCTCCATTTAAATAACATTTCCGGTTGCTCTTAACCATTTAACCATCTTTTTGAGAAGAGTGATCATTTTCTAGAATTTCTGAATTTCATAATATGCCGATCTAGACACAAAATTTCCATAGAAAATATAACATAATTCTAAAAATTACCAGCGACCCTCGAACGTTTAGAAACTAAGACAAAAGTGGCGAATATGGAGTGACAATGGAATACACCTGTGACGTAGTTTAAATTGTCTACTATATGTTGCTACCATCTTCCAGGTTGCGATTTATGTCTGTAATCTCAAATCATATACGCAGACGACAATTTACAAACCGACATATTTGCAAGAACCTCCCACTTGGCAACAATACGATGTTTTTTGTTTTATCACATTAGTGAGAGCAATTGCACCAATTGTTATTCGGCAGTCCAATTCTATGAAACGGTCACAGTTAAAATAGTGTCAATTCTACCATTTTCTTTTCTATGCATTCATCACAAATAAAATGTCACAAGTTTCACAACCTTTGGCGGTTTGATAATCGGTAGATTCACATAACAATCGACCAGTGGAACAATCCTTACGCCATTTTGGCCATTTATCTCTGTAATTTGCTTTGCCTATTTGTCCACTTTTGTTTACATTCTACTCACTTGAAAATCGTACAGAATGGAAATCAAGATTGAGAGCAATAATTTGTTTTTTGACGTAAACAAGATTTGCCGGGTGTGTTTATCCGAAAAGGAGCAAATGAGATCTGTATTTATGCAGGATGAATCCACAGGACAATCAGTGATTCTTGCTGAAATGCTGATGGGATTTTCTGCTGTTCAGGTAGGTTGTTGAAAACTACTAGATGTTCATATCTAGGAATATTTTGATCTGCATTCATGTGTTGTAAGGGAGGGCATAGTAGATCTGCTGAGGCCCATAGGCAAAATAGTCCTAAGCAATCTAGAGCCATTGTTTTAAAATATACCAGCACTGGTATATTACTATAGGTCTCATAAAAGAAATGATAAGCCATTGAAGAGCAAAAATGCCATACTTCATAATGGAGTATTTCATACTATGTAGTTGCATCAAGCCTCTTCAAAGCTTGGGGCCCTGGTGGACAATTTTATCAATCCTATTATGGCCATATCTCGACCAGGTACACTAGCTAAATCTATTTATTCATAAACAATATGGGCAGTTATTGTTTATTTCCAATCAAAATTATCTTTCCTACTGCTGAGCTAGCTTTTGTTATCACACAAGTAATGAATTTATATGTGATTGGTATGTAAAAACATTATTTTAGCCTATGGATATTGAAAGTAAACATTCATTGTTTGAAATCCATAGATTATATATACTTCATCATATGTTTATTTTCACTTACATATTTGGAAATATGAGAGAGGGTCAGTGGAGTATACCATTTTATGAATTTGCTAAAAAATATGGAAGTATTTTAGTCAAATAATTTCTAATTATCTCAAAAAAATAAGTAACTTTATATAAAACACGTTATGTTTTTACAAAAATGGAATGTATATGTTCAAATGCTTTGTTTATATCTCAGAAGATCAGCCAAAGGAACTGTAGATTTTTGTTTATATCTGAAGATAGAAAGGGTACCTTGGAGTGACAGCTTCATTACTGTTGAATTGATAATAACATAATCCTCATGTTATTGTAAGTAATTTTTAAGGACTGATTTTTTTATACCAAATCAATATATTTCAGATAGAAAATGGTGATGGACTTCCAACCCTTATATGTCTCCAATGTGTTCACCAAATAAGCAGATGCTATTCTTTTAAACAACTATGTGAGCAGTCAGATATAAATCTGAGGCATTACCTGGGTAAACCAGTGCCACCAAAACAAAATAAAGTAGAAGAAACTCAAAACAATGAATATCCTACTTCTCTCTTCTTAGACAACTTTGGCCTGGATTCATCATCTGATGATAGTGATGAAGATGACTATAGAGATGATTTCTTAACTTTGCCACCAATTTTATCAAACAATACAAATGATGAAAAGGTTATTGCACAGAAACAGCTTCTAAAGGCAGCTAAATTACAAAAAATGAAGATAAACAAAAGAAAGATTTTAAGCAAAGGGAGCAAAGTAGCCGGTAAGCATGCTCTCATAAAATAAATGAGCTTTGAGGGAACAATGGATGCTTGTTCACAGGAATAGATAGGAGTACCTTAAGGGTGGCTCTGCTCTTTGTACAATAGTTGTAAACTTGTTTTATAGGACTACATGATTGTCTGGCCAATATTATTATGTTTCTGGACCCTGTTTTCAAATTGATTGAGTTATCTGTATTGGTTAAAATACATAAATTAACCAGAAATGGCCATCCTCCAGAACATTTATCAATTCTACAATTTAATCTACAGTAATGGACAAAAGTATATAGACAAATTAATATTATGCTGTATTTCTTTTTTAACTTGTTTTATTAATACACTAACCTGTATACATAATTCGTTATAGCATAATACTCACTTATACATAAATAAATTCATTAGACTCCCTTCAATGATAAATTAATTGAAAAAAACTGGAACTATGAAGGACAACAATATATAGACAAGCAAAACAATTATAGAAAAAAGAAGCAAAGTTCATTGAATTATAGAAAACCAACCATGTTTGTGTTAATATTTTGTAGCATAACCATTATTATCAATCACTTCCTGGCATCATCTCGGCATAGATTGCAGAAGTTTCTTGATATAAGATTCATCAATCTGTCTCCACTTTGCTCTAAAGCGGCAAAAAGTTCATCCTTGTTTGAATAATTTTTATCTCGTATTTGCTTATCCAAGTGAAGGCCATTTGAGAACTGGTATTTTTTCATCCAGAAAGAATTTCTTTGCGAGATTTGAAGTGTGCTACGGGTCATGATCTTGCTGGAAGATTGATCTTAAGGGCATATTGGCTTCCATATAGGGTAACATGACATGCTTAAGTATGTCTGTGTATACAAACTTATCCATAATGCCATCTATTCTATGTAAAGCTCCCATCCCAAACCCCAAAAAGCATCCCCAAACCATAACAGACCCGCCTCCATGTTTGACAGAGGGCAAAGTGTACTTAGGGTTCAATCTTTGTCCACTAGGACGTCTAACATAATGAACATCATCTGATCCAAACATATTGAGCTTGGATTCGTCACTGAAACATACCCTCTTCCAGTCACAGATGCTCCAATCAAGATGTAACCGTGCAAATTGTAATCGGTCCTTACGGTTTTTCCTCGAGATTACAGGCTTCTTACTCGGGCGACGTGCAAATAACTTCAAATCATTTAATCTTCTACTTATAGTTTTCGTAGAAACACTGACAATTCCTTTTATCTCGATTTCAGCTTTTATTTGTCTTCGGGTTTTAAACGGATCTTTGGACGAAATTACTTTTATTAATCTAACTGATCTAGCATTTAGTTTTCTAGGCCGGCCACTTCTCTTAGAGGCTTCCAAGATACCTTTTTGCTTCAGCTTCAAATTTTTTGCAATGGCGACTTGATATTGACCATCTTCATATAACTCAATGATCTTTGTTTTCACATCGATAGAAATTTCTGGACCTCGCGGCATGGTCCTAAAATCACTCAACTTATTCCACAATACTTGATGAACACAAACTAATCCTCTTCTGACGCGAAACTGTACTAAACTAATGTTGAAAAGAATTTGCCTACATATTTTGGTCCCTCATTAAAAAGTGCTTATATTCAGACTTGTATTGTGTACATTGCAGATAATGTAAGAACAAGGAATTTAGTTTTTCTACTAATAACGCATTTGTTTATGGAGCAATGAAGTAAGAATTCGTTTTCTAAAGGTATTTAGGTAGATATTCATATTTGTCTATATACTTTTGTCCATTACTGTATATCTTCACAAATGGGATAAACAGAGAATTCCACAACTGCTTATAAAAAAAACAAATTCCACCAAATGACACTAACTTCAGCCCAGTTTTTAATGATTGTTAATAAAATTGGAATAGAACAACCTAATTTTGAATGAAGTTTGCAATGTTCATTAATATTTTTCCCAGGTGGTGATTCAGTAGGTGAATCATGTCTATTTTGAACAAACATCAAAATAAATATTAATTTGTTTCCTTTGAAGATTACTCCTAATTTTGAACTATTGGTTGTGTATCTGACAAAGTCTTTTCAATGTATCTTTCTAATCAGTGTTTTCTCGTTAGTTTAGCTCTTCTACATGAGTGTTCATAATTACAACATAAATTGTGATAGGTTCATGTATTCTAGTTTTCATCTTTCCCTCATTCTCGATTTGATGTCACAGTCTGTTTAGTGTTTTACTGGTAGATTAGGAATGTTCTTAACAGGTGTAGTAGATCTCTTACAGCATTGAAATGACTAGGCTTAGTGTTCTGCACTCACAGGTGCTGCATTTACTGGCTGTAGCAAGATGTCTTTCACACTTGTGTCATTTCATTGGAGTTGTATAATCTTCTGTTTTGTGGGTTTATAGCAGACATTTAGAGCAAGGAAATGGGTAGTGGTGGTGGAGGAGCACTCTGGCAAATAGCACAGTGACTGCTTTCATACGCGTATAAGCCGCACGCACATTGAGGAGAGAAGCAATTCATATTGTTCAAAGGTGAATTCTCCTCAATCGGTTTACACCTTAAGTAACTTTTTGTAGGATGAAGCATTTGCAGATATAATTCCTATGAAGTATTTATAAATGATTTTACTGTTAGTACAATACAGATATTTGTATTACAAAATGTCATAAAAGTCACTAAAGTTTCCCTTGTTGAACTTATTCCTTAAATAACAAATGGTTGTCCTACCTGGGCTAACTATCTAATTCAGGACCAAGAAATCGAGTATTATCAGACTTTGTAATTGTCATACCATTATGACAAACTGAATTTTGAAAATTTGCTCTACAGTGACTTGTTCCAAAAAGCACAACACATATTATTAGGTAGAATATGTTAATGAAGAAATTATTGTCCTGCTTGTCAGTTATTTCTTTCATAACAGTGGAAATATACTTAACTTGATTATTCTTACTTGTTGTGTGTCAATTTTGTGCAGTGTCTTTATCAGCATAATATTTTTGTGATTGACCCACAGTGTGAATGGGGTTGGTGGGTTATTCTGATAATTTATTGCTTAGCTCGGACTAATCTGAATTTTCCATCCTTGATGTAAATTGGTTTATTTTTACATATTTTTTTTATTTTCGCGGGTATTACACATTCTTAAAAGATCTCTTACTTATGTTTGTAGCTACTAAGAAACAGAAACGCAACCTCAATCAGTGCAACGTATGCAGGAAACAATTTGTGAATTTGAAAGCATTTAGAAAGCACCTGCGAACGCATATAGAGGACAGACCATACAAATGCAAACTTTGCCAACGTGGGTTCACAGAGGAAAACTACCTTAATAACCATATGCGGACACATTTGCCTGATGAACAGAAACCTCATGAGTGTAACGTGTGTAATAAAAGATTTATACATGCGACGCTTTTGAGCAAGCATCTTTTGAAACATAGTGGTGAAAAACCATATGTCTGCAAAATATGTAATAAGGGGTTAGTATATTTGTTCAATGAGAAAATTATGAACATTTTTGAACTAAAAATAACTCAAATGAATACTTGAGTTTTGGAAATCGGTCCCGTAGCAGCGGAGTATGAGCGGACAACGAAAAAATTAAGAATATCCCCAATAAAAAAAACCCTTCGTTTTTCGACTTTATCAACTTTTTGATTATTATAGGGTGTGGTTAAAGAAGTCTTTAGATTAACAAATTGACGCTTTGTAATTTTCGTGTACCTAAAATTTTGAAGAGATTTTTGTGGATGCATAGAAATACCGAGCCAACCTAACTTCATTTTTGTTTTTTGCAATTTTCAAACTTTCTCATTCAACCAATTCTTATGTATTAATTTGATAATTAATATATTCCTTTAGGTGTTATGCTGAAAATAGCCTTCTTAAGCATATGAAGATCCATGAGAAGAAAGAAGGTGATCCAGCATTACTGAAACATATCTGTGATTATTGTAAAACTGAGTTTCCTGATGCACAAGTTCTATCAGTACATATTAAGCAGCATACCGGCGCCAGGCCATTTGTATGCAATATTTGTGGAAAAAACTTTCCACAGAGGTTCAACCTCGAACTTCATCTTAGAACTCATACAGGTAATTTGAAAATCTGAACTATATATTTTATTCATAAAACCGTTAGGGGTTATGCATTTATATCCTTGAAAATTCAATGTTGTCTCTATTTTAATTTGGTATCTTTAGGTAGAATATGTTAATGAATGCAGAAACTAGTTACTTCATTCTTACACTTTGATTTTCAGGAGAAAGGCCATTCAAGTGCGAGGTGTGCAAAAATGGTTATGTATCAAAGGCGAGCCTTAAAATCCACATGAGAACACACACAAATGAGAGGCCGTTTGTCTGTGATTTTTGCGGTAAAGCGTTCAGACAGTCTGGAGATCTCACTAGTCACAAGCGACTTCATGGAACTGATAAGCCTATTGAGTGTACTGTGTGCCAAAAAAGGTAATGTGTAAACTCGGAATGCAATTCTCAAATTTCATGTCTATGTGTGATTTAAGGTGTTACTTGCGTTTGGTCACAGTTTACAGAAATGACATTATTTTTGGGGAGCTCTTATGAGAAACATGATATTTTCTTGAATCATTTCAATTTTTTCCAGAAACAAATTCATAGACATGCTTAAAGAACTGGTGATGATAAACTTGAGAGGCATTACAGCGTTACCTCGAAATTTGAAAAAGACATATCATATCATTTAAATATATAGTTCGGAATCGATGGCTTACGTCATATTAGTGTTTTCAATTATGGAAATATTTAAAGATACTTTCGCAGCATTGAAACGTCTGTGCTAATTTGAAAGTAATCCTCTGGGTTTCATTATTAATCAAGGAAGTTGATAAATCTACAGTTACTATCGTGTTCGGACGTTTGCTGTTGCGAATATCACATAATCTGTATATACTTTTTTTTTACACCGAAGCAACCGCGTAGACAGAAGCCTAAATACCGGGACACCGCGGCTGCTATGAGGGTTCCAAAGAAATTTTTTCAACCCGATTTTAGAACTGCCCAAGGTTAGTAGAACTGGGAAAAACCTCCTCTTGTAGATTGTTCCACAATCTCGACACCCTCAGGACAAGGGGGCGGTCGTATCGGCCAGTTCTGGATGTTCGACACGGTTAATATGGGAGGGCGAAGTCAGGCGGGTCTGTCTGACAGGCACATCGCGCGGCGGCATCATGAAGGAGAGCTCTGAGGAGCAAAGCCCGTTGGTGTAGCGGTAGAAGAGAGCTATATCGCCGAAATCCCGCCGGTGCGAAAGGGTCCCGAGGCTGTCTGTTAGAGAAGAGTCATCGATCAATCGGACAGCTCTCCTCTGGACAGCATCGAGCATAAATAATGAAGTCGGGGCGGCAGCACCCCAAACGTATGAGCAATACTCAAGGCTAGGTCTTATCTGGGCCTTCAAGTCTGGACCAGAAGCTATCTTGATGTCGAGCGACAAGAGCACCCTTCTTACTGTCTTATTCCTGAATGTTACTTCCAGCATAGTGTAGGGAACCCTTTGAATCAACGGCACTCAGGCGTTGGGGGAACATCCATGGTGGAGTTTTGGCAAGCCCTTCCACCTTAGCCTTTGTGTCGGTTAAAATCGTAAATACCGTGGTCCGTAACATCGGTATTTACTGATAATTCCGACAGTGTCAGTAGATATCTACGTAATCATAAGCATCAATAATAACTGACATCATGGCAACATGGATCTCAGTAAATACTGATCGTGCGACATTCGCATATGGAGGCTGAGTGCGGTCAAATTTCGTTGGTACTATACGTGTTAGGTGTGGCAGACAGGGACCATCCCACTGAAATGCAAAATGTGTTTAGATCTCACTCTGTACAAGGCCTAAAACCCAGCCTGTCTGACAGGGTTCAGAGGGGCTACACACTGAATCGGTGACGCTCTTTCAGATGGCCGAAAACCTCGCATTCGTGAGTCAAATCACCCAAGTCGTTTTTTGTCATAATGGCATATCTTGGGTGTTCCATAACATCAGTCAAGAGGTTGCCGCACTGTAACCAGTGTAAATTTTTGCCAAATTTCGAAAGTTTTTTAGACCAATGTTAACAAAAAGGGTTTTAAGAACTTATAAAGCACATAAAATATATTTAAGTTTGTGAAAGTAGGCTAAATAAGCTGTAAATGTGGTGTTGTATGGGTTAACTTCTAAGAAATGCTAAAGGTGCTTCCATTTGTGAGAGCAACGTCGTTATCATTGCGTATAGTTGGATTTAGCTTTTATTGAAAAAATAAACTTAATTGTCTCACCACTTACACATTGTAACCTTATGGATGGTCATTTGACTCACTAGCCTATTTTGGGTCAGATTCACAACCTTGATGAAGCTGAAATATCACATGCGCAACCACACCGGCGAGAGGCCGTACGTGTGCAATGTGTGCGGCCGGGGATTCACCGTGAACACAATCTTGCTGCGACACAAGTAGGCTAAATAAGCTGTAAATGTGGTGTTGTATGGGTTAACTTCTAAGAAATGTTAAAGGTGCTTCCATTTGTGCGAGCAACGTCGTTATCATTGCGTATAGTTGGATTTAGCTTTTATTGAAAAAATAAACTTAATTGTCTCACCACTTACACATTGTAACCTTATGGATGGTCATTTGACTCACTAGCCTATTTTGGGTCAGATTCACAACCTTGATGAAGCTGAAATATCACATGCGCAACCACACCGGCGAGAGGCCGTACGTGTGCAATGTGTGCGGCCGGGGATTCACCGTGAACACAATCTTGCTGCGACACATGCGCGTCCATTCGGGCGAACGGCCGTACGTTTGCGTCATATGCGGCAAGGCGTTCTCGCAAAGCAGTACGCTGAACACGCACATGAAAGTACATGCGTCACCGCCTAAGCAAGATCATGAAGAACAACCGCAACAGAAGGATATGATGAAGTTCCAGGTATGTTTACACAATACAATAGCATTAGAAATTATTAGAACACATATAGTTTATTCACTGAAACAAAGGAGTTACGTCTTATTTAGTAAACTTGAATGCCAACCCTAATGCAAAATAGATCCTAAATTAGTATGTATAGTTTGAATCTCCTAGGTACATTTATGTTGGTGACAGTTTTCTGTGTTGTGACATTGTCACAAAGCTTGTCAGGTAATTATGTCAACGGCTTTATTTGTGGTTTATTTTCGTTCTTTCTGCATCAAAATTTGCATTGTTATTTCATATAAACAGTTTTTTTTTCAAAACTGAGGTGCTCTTTTAAGCATTTTGCAAAAATGCCGAAAACTCTGGGTCAACAAGCGAAAGAATTCGTCAGTTCTTTGACGAAATATCTTGAGACCGAACGAGATAATGGAACTCCATTATTGCCCTTACAGTCCGTAAGAGAGGTATTAGGTAGTAAATAGAATTTATACTAGCTCTAGTGTTTACAAAACATACGCTTCGTAAGGTTGGTTGCGGTAAGGCATCGAGGACATAAAGTAGATTTTGAAAACGTCCTAGGATCTAGTAGTTTTAATTAATGTGGCAACCATGTGCGTCACTGCCATTATTTGACGTTGTGACGTAACTGCTTCGATTCAGTAAATAAACTATCTATATACATCATATTATTAACGTTCCATCGTCGGTCCGACAGCAACCAACCAGTAGAGAGTGTTTTTTTCTATTTTGCTTCTGAAAAATGGTACATTCCATATTTAGCTTGAAAAGCGAGCTATTCTTGGATGGCATATATCACAAAATATTTGAAGTTACATCACGATCATGACGTTTCTTAGTTTAAAAATATTTTAAATAGTCTAATTGCCTGTATTGTTATTGGCAAACTAAAATTAATGGAACACATATGTGATGTATTTTAAAGGGGAGTAGGGTGCAAATCTTGATTTGTGGTTTCTTTCTGCTTACATTGAAAGCAGCTTTCTAATAATATGCCGATTATTGTGGTATTCGAGAACAGCTATACTTAACATTACCTATATCTCTATATTTTCCAAATACATTCCGAAGTATTCAAACTGACATGACAAATTTCACAGTATACAAGTTTAAATGTCATTCATTATTTACCTAGACCTAGGTGCTTTTTTATTATTAATATTTTACCTAGGGAGAGAAATGAGACTTATTTTCGGAGGATTACAATTGATAGATGCTATTTGGCTGTGAAAAAATATATATTATGATTGGTCAACATTCTGTAACACTATGCCCATAAACGCCGTAGTAATTGTTCAAAGCACATACATACACACATACACGATCCCACAACGCGTCCGTATCGTTAAAACGTTTTACTTGAATAATGAGTCGATTGTAGAAACGATCCGGAAGCTACGACAATATTTCGGTCGAAATAATCTGCCCAGGGTCAACGCCATTCGTCAGTTGGTGCGGAAATTTGAACAAACAGGTGAAGTTAAAGACTTGCCAAGGTCGGGCCGTGGTCGAACTGTTGGTACGCCGGAAAATATCGAGAGAGTTCGTGAACGTGCAGTGGACTTGCATTTGCGGCCATACAAAATTCAGTCAACCCAAGGACTACAGCCTAGTGACCATGAAAGTCACCGACAATACAGTCATGCAATATTGCAGCTTAATACACAAAATAACGATTTTTATCGACAACTGATAATGAGCGATGAAGCTCACTTCGATATGAACGGATTTGTTAATAAGCAGAATTGTAGTATCTGGGCATTAGAGAACCCTCGTCTCATCCACCAACGACCACTACATCCAAGTCGAGCCATTGTTTTGTGCGGTGTTTGGTATGGAGGTGTCATTGGACCTTACTTCTTTGAAGTCACTGCAGGTAATTCTCTTACTGTCACTGGCGAACGCTAGCGTGATATGGTTCAAAACTTTCTGGGTCCTTAAATCCATCAATTTAACCTGCACAATATGTGGTTCCAGCAGGACGGAGCAAATTGTCACACAGCTAGGGAAACAATGAACCTTTGTTGAACAATATTTGCGGGACATTTAATTTCTCGGTTTGGTGATGTCAACTGGCCACCAAGGTCACCAGATTCAACGACTCCTGACTTTTTTATGAGGATTTTTGAAAAATAGGATTTATGTCAACATATCAAATACTGTAGAGCAGCTGAAGAACAATATTACGGAAGCGATTGAAAATATTCCTCTCGAAAACCTACCAAAAAGTGATGGAAAATGTAATCAAGAGGGCTCAGGTTCGAGCGGCTTCTAGAAGCGGACATTTTTTGTCTGATATTATTTTTCTTACATAATTTCTAAGTTTCAATAAAAGATTAAGATGAAAAAAATTGACGTATTTTATTTCATTCCACAAATATTCAAGATACAAACCACAGTCAGTTACATATCGGCCACCCTGTATGAATGATTTGGAAATGTCGTCGGGCTGTGATAGTAAATTCCGAATTATTCGTTTTTCAGCACACTGGTATAGTTCTATACATCATGAAATATGCATCATAAATTATTCATAAATCTAGGCATCTACATATGTTTTGACTTTAATTATGAAAATGTTTACATGTGCAGTACCGTTAACAACAAAGCACCGGTGGAGGAATTTTGGACCAATGTTTATACTGTAGCTTTATACCTATTTGTCACCCTATTTCAATGTTCGAAGTTATCAGTTTATGAACGCATGGTAAATTGAATCTCAAACAACTAGATACCCTTACAATTTTATCTACAGGCTTTACTTTTTATTATTTTGCACGATTTTTTTGTAGATTAATAATGAGAAGTATCAAGCTTCGACACCAGCCCAGCAACAGGTAGTAGTACAGTGTCAGTCCCAACCGCCAGCCTCCCAGGTATTTCTTTTTGTCATTATAGTCAGTTCTTTCAAACAGCGAATTTCTGGCAGTTCTAAACAGTCATTTCCAGATAATAGATCGATCCACCGCGTAGCCACGCAACAGCATATCATTAATTTGTATGGGCGACTGAACAGTTTCTGACAATCTGAAATTTTGTGTTGGAAATGTTCTACATCATTTTTGCATTTCCATTAGCTACAAAATACTTTAACATCAAACAAGAAACCTGTTCAGCTGCTTCGAAGACATTTTTATTTTATGCTTGGTAATAACACTGAATTTTCGCGTTAGGTACAGGAACATACGTCACGAATGCTCGAGGCCGACCAACGTATGCCAAGCAACGATATGAGGATGATGCCTGCTGATAATACCCGAATGATAGCGACCAGTGACAATTCTCACATTGGATTGATGGACAACACCCGGTTGGTCACAAACGATGGTACCACATTGTTGGTCAATATTGCCGACAGTCTCAGGGTGTTCGTCAACGACAATAATAATACCAGGTGAGTGAGTTCATAAATTAGTATTGTCCGGGTGGCCATCCTACCTGTAAGTCAGGAGGAAGCCAGGGAAAATCGTCAGGCTAATTGCGCCGAGGTTAAGAAAATCACTTTTGAAATTTTCCGTCGGTATCAGCAAAAACTGGCACCAGATTCGTGATATATGCAGCCGAAGAACGGGTTTTGGTTCAGATTGTAGTTATGGAGGAATTTTTTAAGTTTTAATCATATGCTTCCAATTTTTAGTAGTAGTAATGAACAACGTTTTTGGAGATGTTGCATTTTGCTTTCGCCATTTCTAATTACTTAAGGTTAGACCATAGCTAAAAATAATATTATGTAACTCAAGCACTTGTGAATGTAATAGATATACTACCGGTCCACTTACAATACTACTTTTTGAGATTATTTTTTTGAATCAGCCTTTGCTGAAGCCGATTTTGGTGTTTCAAGCTTATGTGCTTCAATACCAAGTCTTAATAGTCGGCAGTTGTCTCACAGATGTTTTAAGATAATTAGTCACTTTTAATTCCGTAAAGATTCTTGCAGCTTTTGCAATTTTAATCTGGGAGGACAAAAGGAGAAGCATGCTACTGACACTTAGCCAGATGCTTTGACAATTTAGCGCTTTAGAATTTAGTTTCGCGTATGACCTGGAAACTTGTGTGAAATTGTGACATTTTACGCATTTTTTTTCATTAAGGGTAATTTGAGATGCTTATTTCTCATAACCAAATGGTCCTGGTAAGGGTCAAAATTATTAATGTTCTTTGACAATTGAGCGACGTTTGAGGAATTATCTTTCATTGAGTTCCTCAAGGAACGCCATGGGAGGATTTAGCATTTGAATTTCACAATAGACTGTCAGCATAGGTTTCCAAAATAAGAGACTTTTTTGGAACTCCCACCTTTCAACATTTTCAAATATATCTAATTCGTCAGAATTTTCAGAGTCGACACAGATACTTCCACTGTTAACACTACTTAATTTTTAAAATTATCTAAATGTAAAAATTTTGGTAGCTTGAAAATTTTGATAATGAAAATGAAAATATGTGATGGCAACTGTTAAATCCTCACTTGAACATTCCAATTGGAAGGATTATTATTTGTCTAAAATCAGTGGAATCGTTTCTCAAGCAGCACTCAGTCCTCAATCAACGCCTATAAATGTGATCCTATGTCAATAAAATAAGGGAAAACAAAGTTTATTCGCGAGGTCACCCTAGTCATGCCCTTTCTTCTCTACATAGCCTATTTGAATAGGACGTTTGGTAGGTTTTGTTGTACACTTAAATAATTGCTTGTAGATTGATTACCAACGACAACAGGATAGTGATGACTCAAGATAACAGACTGGTGGCCAACATGAATGATAACAGCAGAATCACTACTGTTGTAGATAGCACTAGAATTTTGACTGATAAGTACCTTACTAGTTATGATCCTTATCATCGTGGACATTTATGAAAGGAGGATAATTTATAATAGACTTGTAATATACTCAAGTGCAAAAGTGGAATGGAATGTAGAATTGAAAAGTGTGTCTTTTGTTTAATTTTAATGTTGTTTTAATTATGGGGAGTCTAATATCTACATACATAGTCAAAATGATTATACTATTGAATTGCAGGTGCTTTGAAAGCATTTTTTCTCAAGTGAACATTTTTGAATCATAAGGTTGTCCTTTTCCTAGGAATCTGTTGGATTTAAATATATAGTGTTTTATCATTTAAACCCATGTATAAAGACTGATAATGCATATTAAAAAAAAATTTAAGTTTTCTAAACTTTTATGGTATTTTTCATACTGAAATTGTAATATTGTTTCACTGGATATAGTATCATCGAAACAGGATACATTCTTTTAATAGTGATTATACTTTTAGACATTTCACATTTTTTGTATGCTGTACTATTTTTCAAATAAAAATTGAAGTATCTATTGTTGTTTTGATTGTACTTTGAATACTAAATATTAAATCATGTGGAAAAAGAAATATTCAATAATAGTTCAATTTTTAATAACTGTCTATTTTCAGGAATACAGTGGACAACAATCAATATGTATATAGGTACATTAACAAATTTATGTCTCTCTCTTTTTACCAAATGGATTTATTTTTTGTAGCCAGGACCCAGATTCGCCAGAACTGTAAAAGGTATAGTTTGATCATTATTAATAATATTGTGATTAATTTCTTTTGAAAGCATGTCCATAAAACTCCTCGCTCACCTTATCTCCTCAGCTTTATTATCAACCATTTCACTCAAGCTAGCAGCCTTTAGTTTCTCTATTAACTGAGCACGATACATGTGTTTCAACGGTACTACCTTGCTACGCTCTTCCTCTTCAATCCTCTGCTTTAATATTCTCAATGCTTCATGAAGAGAATACCCATACCATTCAATCTCTTCAGCAGTATACTGCAAATAAAAAGATGTTTCACAAATGTTTTCATATAAAAAACTTTTTCAAAAATTAGGTTTACTCATACTTGTCTCGATAACTGTATTTGTTTTAGTATTATTGGGTGAACAATATAATGTACAAAAAAAACCTCAAGGCAGAGTAGACAAATTGGCAAAAAAATGGAAAAATCATTATCAGTTCTTGTAGGTTTTAAACAGTTTTAATAATTGAAGTATAATACAAGAAAAACTTACTGCTGACAAATAATTCTCAAAACGGTGCAGTACTTCACTTTGTTTTTCTGGTTTATCTGCATATGAAGGGCAACCTTTCTGCAATTCTTGTAAAATTTTCCTTTTTAATCTGAGAGGCAGCAGTCCTTTTAAATCACAAGCAGGAGTCTGCAATGTAAAAAACTTTCACACTCAAAGTGAACATAGTTATGAGCAGACCAAAAGTACTCTTTTTTTGAAAAACCAAGTACTGGGTACTCAGCCAGGTTCGAATTCAGAGTACTGGTTACTGTGGAGTGATTTACTCTCGGTTATTTCAGCTACTGTTAGTAATATGAACATTATACAGGGTTTGTCCGGAAAGTAATAGGACTGAGTCGATTTAAAAAAATTTATTGATCCAATCGTTACAATTCTTTAAAAACTTTCAAAATAGGCTCCTTCTGCGTCGATGCAGCGCTGCCAGCGCGATTTCCAAGCATTGAAGGCGTCACGGAAGGCATTCTACGGAATAGCCTTGAGAGCCGCGGTGCATGCTGCTTGGATCCCCTCTGTCGTCTCAAAATGCTTGCCTTTCATCGGCCTTTTCAGGCGAGGAAACAAAAAAAAAGTCCAGGGGGGGGGGGGCACATCTGGGCTGTAGGGCGGCTGCGGAAGCGTTGGGATGCCGGCCTTGGTCAGGTAGCTCACAAGAAAGGCGGTGTGAGCCGTGGCGTTGTCGTGGTGCAACTTCCAGTCGGCTGCGATGTCTTGTCGGACCCGACTGACCCTTGGTTTGAGTCTCCTGAGCACTTCCTTGTAAAACTTGGTGTTGACGGTTTGTCCAGGAGTAACAAATTCATGGTGGACGATGCCTTTGATGTTAAAAAAGACAATGAGCATCGTTTTCACTTTGAATTTGCTCATTCTTCCCTTTTTTGGGCGAGGAGACACCGTCGTGTGCCACTCGGAAGATTGCCTCTGTCTCGAGATCATACTCAAAGATCCACGACTCGTCACTCGTCAAAAATTGGGGGTCACTTTCACACATGTTCAAATTTTCTTGGCCGCGAGTGCGCGGCAATTTCTGGTTGTCAGTGAGCATTTTTGGGACCATCTTCGCGTACACCTTGCGCATGTTCAAATGCTGTGTCACAATGTCACGAACCACAGATTTTGGTAAATTTAACATCTGGAAAATTAAACGAATACTTAGTCGACGGTCTGAGTTCAAAACTTTGCGCACACGAGTCACATCGGTGTTTGTCGAAGTCGAAGGTCTTCCAGCACGGTCTTCATCAGCGACCTCTTCCCGGCCCTCCAAAAAGGCCTGGTGCCACCGAAACACACCACTTCTTGCTAAAGCAACACCTGGGTAAGCATGCTTGATCATATCAAACATCTCTGTCGCAGATTTACCGAGTTTCACACAATTTAATCGCCTACCTCTGCTCTAATGAACGCTGCATTTTCGGCTTGCACCACTCTCAGAAACAAGTCGCGCGAAAATGCCTGTCCTGACCCTGAAAGTGCTCGAAGACAACTGACCAGTCGCTCATTCGTTAGCTAGGAACGCCCTCTACCGAAGTACAGTCATGGCGGAAGAAAATGAGTCCTATTACTTTCCGGACAAACCCTGTATATGCATTTTTGAAAAGTCCTTCATTCGCAGAATTCACTCATCAAAGAAATTAAGGCAGCACAAAAACAAAAGTTGTCATATGATTTAAACTGTGAAATTCAGCAGCTAGTGAGATTAAATTGGAACCATATAACTTTTACTGGACCCTTTAAGTGCGCATGGCATATATGTGCGCCAGCAAAGTTCTACCTGTAATGCAGTTGGTACACATGTATGCCGTAGGTGTGCCAGTACCTCAACGATCATTACCTTCGAGCACTTAAAGCAGTGCGCGAAAGTAATGGTTAATTTACCATAAGTAGCATGTTGTATGGGTAAGAGACTACATAAAATTAGCGTCAGTTTTTAGTTTTGTTTTTCAAGTTCACGAACCATGGGTGATATAGTGGCGGGACCTTCACTGCTCACATTCAAAAATCCAAATAAACTCACAGATGAGGAATTATTAGCTATTCTAGAATGTTCGGACTCTGATAATATATTTTTTGTATTTTCAGAATTTACATTCACTTACTTTTTACTCTTTTTCATTAGTTTTAAATTTTAGTTTGAGTTTTGTTTTATGTTTTATTTAGAAATACAAGTGGTCATCTAATATTATGTTACTCTATATTCTGAAAATAAATAGGAATAAAGGCCATGGCACGCATGTGTACTAGTTGCAAACATATCAGTAACATTTTGAAGGTTTAATTATAGAAATACATTTTGAAATAAAAAGGTGCTGCTCCAGATAAAGTAGTCACTTGATGGGTCAAAGCGAAAGTGTCAATAAATAAGTAGTACAAAATAGCGTTTATGCCAAACATGTTTATCACTATATATAACATGATATAGTCAGAGTGTCAATAGAAGATAGTATAGCAACCACTATTAAATTTGATGTGTGGCTTCAAATACTTCTGGCTGCAGTAACACTTCCTTCAATTCATTTCTGATTTCATTTGGAATATTTATTTCTGGTATACTTTTCCATTAATGCACTAATTGGACTTTTCATGAAAAAATGTATCTTTATCATTTCTGGAGCTCTGGTGTACAACTTGTCAACAATGTTTGCTGATTATAATTATATTATAATATGCAACTATATATACTATATACCTCACAAAATGAAGTAACCTCATTAAATAGCACTCTTATATCCTACCACTAATAACAAGGATGGTAGTGGCCAAAATCTGCACATGTTCCAGGCAGATGACTTAGAACACTTATAAATCCACAATACAAGCATCAGTAGTAATGGAATATAAAAAATTAAGCTAATATTAGTGCTTACCTTCAACAAGTAGTGATCAAATCCATAATTTGAATTAATAAGGCTGATAGCTCTCTCAGTGACAATCACAGAGAGATATTTATCAAGTACCTCACTGTAAACAACAGTTCTCTTTAAGACAGGTACCCAGAAATGAGGTACTCTTCTTACATCACTAGCTCTAGATTGGAAGCCCTGAATAACACCATCACCACCCCATATGTGGTTATTTGCCTCAGGTGGATAAATAACTGGCAAAGGTACATTTTGAACAGGGAACCTGCAAAATATTATTTAATAAGGAAACTCTTAGTTTTGTGCAATTGCTCAATATTATACAACGTTGCTATGAACGACTTTAAAAATACTTACACTTCACCAGTGATGTCGTTTCGTTTCCATTTACCAGTCTCAGGTATATAATGGACAGCAGTAGGTTCAGTAAGCTTCCATTCCTTGTAAAATTTCTTATAAGCTTCTGGCAATCTGGTAGCCAACCCAGTTTCCAACGCAGTAAGCGATTTCCTGGCCAACCCTAGGGCTTTCACTGACTGCAAAACAGATAGATAGTGAAGTTGTATCCCTTAAATATCTAAATTTTTACCTTTGACGCCATAAAAATTGATTTTGTTGTAATTTTTAAATTTTGTCTGTATTTTATAACCTATGGAACGCGTTATACTGACAAGTGGTCATTTGACACAGTGATGCCACCGGCCAGTAAAGGAATTATGGTACGATGTTGCCAGAATTATCAATTTTTCTTCAAAATTATGTTACAAATAGTGTTCCTTTAAGACAAAAAATACACATAATTAATATAGGTTCTTTAATGTAAAAATCCCATAAAAAATGGAACATTTGGGAAAATCAAACAAACTCTCGAAAAATACTACAAGATATACCTAACTCGAAAACATAAAAAACATTATTCAGGTTCAAAATGAATATCAACAGTTTCATTTTCATCTTGAGCGACATGTTTATAGGACGTTATTCTATTAATCATATTTTGAGTAACATTAAACTTATAACATTCACGATTTACACTTTGAGATGCCAATAAAAGTGAATTTACTGTATCACTGTACAAGCGAGTTCGGACATCTGTTTTGATCAAATTTACTTTTGAAAACATTCTTTCGCATGCGGCATTTGAATGAGGAATTACTAATAAATCTAATACAAAATTTCCCAATTCTTTGAATACGTAAACATCAGACACGTCGTGAATTTGGGAGATTTTGTACCAGTATTTATCGATTGATGTTTCATCCTTTATTTCATCACTGAAATTTGGTTCTGACACGCCACTGATCATCAATTTTTTGTATTTGTTCAATATCTTGAGGATCTACAATTCTGGGTAGTAACTTAATTAATGGAAAAAGCGATGCTGGTTTTGGTTTAGAATACCCTTTTTCAAATACTGATATTTTTGACAAAATACTTTCATTAAAATCAAACCGTTTTTTCATTTCATTTGCAGAAGTTATTAAAAATTGACGGCACCGCATGTAGAAATCTTCTTTTTCCTTTTATCAATTTATCAATGTTCTGAAGTACGCGAACACCAAGGTATATCTGCATTGTTGGGATCGATTTTACCTATTTCGGTTTTATGAATATAATTTGGTTGTAAATAGCTTAAACAAATTTCTTTATAAGTTTCACAAACTACATCATAAACGTGTGCAATTATGACACGCTCACTTTGAAAGTATTCATTTAATTTTACAAATTTTTTACAAAATGTCTGAAATTCTGTAAATTGTGCTTGCCGTTTGGAGCTGTTTTTAAAGTAACCAAAAATATTCCTGGCTAAATCTTCACAATGACGGGGCAAAACTTTACAAGCCTCACTGACACAAAGATGTAAAGAGTGGCAGATGCATTTTTGAACTATAATGCCAGGAAGATTTAGTTTTAACCTACTTACTACTGAGTTATTGGCACCAAACATAGTGTTACAACCATCAGAACCAAATCCTATAATATTTTGGAAAGGTATATTGTTAGACTCAAATAAATCCATAATTTTTTTATAAAGAACTTCTGCAGTCGCCCCTGTATTTGCTTCATCTGGATTTTGATTTGAAAAACATTGTACCAAATTTAAAAATTCTGTAATTACCTCATTTGTTTTTTCACTAAAGTACCTAACACATACACATATATTTTTTACTACACCTATGTCTGTAGATTCATCTACTAAAATGCTAAACTTTTTTGCTTTTAGTTCATCGATTAGTTCTTCAAAATGAGATTTGGCTAAAACATGTTTTATAACATCTGTTGCTTTGGTTCTTCCCATCTGCATTCCTTGGGCAATTTTCGAGTCAGGAAATACGTCTTTTAATAAAGGAATCAGATGATCACACAGCTTGGTGGGTAGATTATGCTCTGATATTAATGCAGCAATTTTTATTTCTGCCCAACTCACTTGACCACTAGCTTCGTTTTTATTAGAAAACATAGTAGACATTTTTGGTTGATTTTTCACAATCACCTTTACATTTTTTAAATGTTTAGCTCCCTTACTGTGATTTTTCAATACAGTTAAATCTGCTTGAATTTCACTATCACAAGCAATACATTTTGCTCGAGTGGGTTTTTCTAAAAACAAAAATGCATATCATTAAAAGTATAAAATGGTTTTATGTAATTTTTTCTACCTTTAACAGCTTTCAACCATCCTTTGAAATGAGGATTGCTTTACCATTCACATCTATATTTTTGTGGTCTATTTTCTCGTCTGTTTACGTTTTTAAACTTTAATCTTTTTGCCTCCCTTTCTGAATCCGAAGAATCGGAGTAATCATGATGATCCCCTTTGCTGGTACTGGCCATTTTATTTCACTATTTGATCACATCAACATTAATAAGGACTCATTCGATCAACTACTCTTGCTCGTATTGAAAAAGAAACAATGAGGATTAGGGTATTCCCCTGCGTAGGCTCAAATTCACCGAGACTCGAGTTCCGTAATATTTACATAGATGGATTGATTTTTATTCTAACTCCATAATAACCATGCTATTAACTGAAAGAGGTCAGCACTAATAATTATTATCCTTTTTGTTACGTTGCTTTGGTTGCATACAATTAGAACCAATAATTTTGAAAACATAGTTATAGGCTGGGAGATGGAAAAATAATATGTTACAATTATCGATTATGTTACATCTTTTTATTTACTGTATATTTCAGTACAAAATATGGTACAATTTGATAATTATGTTACAAGCGGCAACACTGATTTGACATAATTCCTAGTTGGAATGTGAACCAAACGAGAGATCACTACGAAGAGCTCTGTTCTGTGGTTATACATCGGCCATCTTTGACCCTCCAGGCAGCTCAGTTCAAGACTTTTCACATGGTGTGTATAAAATGCAAATACTAGGACCATTTACTAGTATCACTGTAAGACATGTATACGACTACCTAAAAGTGCTCTCCTTCTTTAAAACCATATGGAGAGAACACAGCTGCAACCTGAGAATTCGCTTCCCTGAACCGCCTCCTTGCTTAACTAATAAAATCACTACCTGAAAAGCGTTCTACTAAAACAGATTTTTTCAATTAAGGAACATACTCAGGCCGCAACCTTCCTCTGAACCGCCCCTTTTTGATATGTTTTTCTGTCTTTACGCCTCCTGGTATTATGTGGATTCTTAGGGACGTAAGTGGCTGTTATGATTGTCGAAGACATACTGGTTCTGTAAGAATTGCGCATGACTCTCGATCACACAATCACCTATGCCTATGACATTTGACCACCGAACACAGATGGCCATGATTCTGATGTTCTGTGAGTGTGTGATTCGCTAACTTTTTTTTATTGTTTTTTTGAAAATTTTACGAAAATGTCTATTTATTTCAGTGGGACATTCAGACACTCTGTAGGAGGTGTTGTAAGTGCAATTACTAAACAATTAAAATTAGTAAATTTGAAGCCAATTAAAAAAATCCAGGTACAGTTCGATCCGTTTCACCCCAATGCTGTAACTGCAAGGTAAATATAAACATAACCTCACTTAATTATTGATCATCTAAATATAGATTTTTAAATGTAATATCTTTGAAGGGACTTCTTGTTTCACATATCGAACCCTAAAGTTATCCAAACAAACATCAACTGTGCTATCAGGACGAATGTTGTATGCGATAGAAGTGAACCACAGATAAAAATAGATCTAGCTGAATCTGGGTAAGTGGTCTTCTGTTGTCTCGTTTTTGTGTAAAGGTATTCTCAATATTCCAGTGTTGGAGTTGTGTCCAAGAGCATTACTCTATGAGTTGAATGCTACATACTCAGTATTTACTTTAAGCCATATCTTAATTCAATAGCCTTATTCAGGTTCTACAACAAATTATCTCTCAGAACTATTCTAACTCCACACAATTGGTTCTTATGATTTTAAACTGCATTGTGATTGGTTACTGGTAGTCCAGAATTGTTCTGGAATTATTTCTTCTAAAAACCCAAAATAAGCTGTTAGCCTTATTTAGGTTCTATAAGGAAGAATCTTAGATGTGGTCTGACTCCACACAACTTTTTCTCTTAAATAATTGTTGCTAGTTGTGAAAATGGCTCTGGGATTATTGCCTTTAAAAACTGGAGTGATACTAATGTCATTTAATATGCATTGAAGGGTCTGTCAATGTCAGAGGATAGTCCTTCATCCTTAGATTATTTTATTGTATAGTCAACGCCAAACAAAGTGGCGTGCACGTCATCACGATAAAAATTCTCCGACCTAATGCCTAGGTTTCTATCACAAACAATTGCTCTATTGCAGTTTCATATTAATGTGATATATAAATTGTAAAATGGTCATTACTCTCTTATTATGGTTAATAGTCATATAAACATTGTTATTAAAATATCACATAAGTTGCTTTCTGATAAATTTAGACGCATTATGTGGAATAAAATGTTTTGCAAACGCTCCAATCACTTATCGACATGTAAACGCACTAAACCGATTTCGCAGCGTTGACACATTGTCACCTTGAAACTTATTTAAACGGGGAACTGACATTTGTATTAATTTTGACACTGAATCAATTTGTGGCATTTCAAATCTTTATAAATCCTTTGGCCCCGCATACTGTAAATCAACAACTGTTTGTTTCAAAACAAAATTATTCATTTTACGAGTAGATAAAGGCGATTTTGGTATATAAAGATGCCCAAACAGTTAAATAGTCGGTGTAAGGAACTCGTGGCCTCGTTAATGCACTACTTTGAGCAAGAAAGGGACAACAACGAGCCTTTGTTGCCTTTAAATGCTGTTCAAGAGGTAGGTTACTAATAATTATATGTAATGTATATTAATAATAGTGAAATTTTATTTCATTTTTTGTAGCGTGTTGCTGCTGCTTTAAAAATTAGTTTAAGGACAGTTAGTCGTATTTCCGAGGGTGTGAAAAGTGATGCAAATTTAGAATCGCCCAAGAAAAAGCGGAGTTATATTAAACGTGTAACCAACACAGCGACATTGGATACAAGTGCCATTCGAGAAGTGATCTATAATATGTATCACAAAAGTAAGATCTTATTATAATAACTTATCAGAAATTTGCATTAATTTGTTAACTAAATTATAATGTCATATTACACATGGTTTCAGAAGAACAAGTTACGATACAAACTTTATGGTCTCGATTAAGAGATAGGGCATTATTTGATGGTAGTGCCACGTCTTTAAGGCGGTTGCTTAGAGATCTTGGATTTAAGTGGCTTAAGGACAATCCGCGACGAGGGCTCATGGAACTACCAAGTATAGCTTTGAAAAGGGTGGAATTTCTAAGGCAATACAATCAAGCCAAGGTTGAGGCCTTATACCAGTTTGTCTTCCTCGATGAAACTTGGATATTTCAAAATAGGACCATAGGTCGCTCTTGGCAAAATGGAAACCAAAAAAGCGTGAAAGCTATTAAAACAGATGGTAAAAGGTATGTACTTTTACACAATTTGCACTATAAAATTTAAAACTAATATATTTTAGATACATTATATTACATGCTGGAAATGAAAATGGGTTTATTGAGGGTAGTGAAGCGATATTTTCTTCGAAAACAAAATTGAGCGATTACCATGGAGAGATGAACCAGGACAATTTTTTGAAATGGTTTCAACATCAGTTATTAGAAAAATTGGAGAGTCCATCTATGATTATACTGGATAACGCCCCTTATCACAGCATGATATTGAACAAAGTGCCCAACAATGCATGGACAAAAAAAAATATCCAAGACTGGTTGACAAATCAAAACATACCATTTTTAAACACAATGTTTAAAACAGAGCTATTGAGTATTGTTGCTCGGTACATAATGCTTCTTAATTATATATATATTTTGGTCGACAGTTTATATTTCTTTTGTTTATTCCTATTCTTAAAATAACTGCTTTTTTAGAAACAAACCACCTAAAATATACGTGATTGATGAATTGGCGGAACAACATGGGCACAAAGTTCTTCGTCTGCCTCCTTACCATTGTATATTTAAACCCTATTGAGTTAATTTGGGGCATAGCAAAAGGTTACTATAACAGACATATTGGTAGAGATGGTAACAGTGAAAAAGACTGTTTGGATATGTGGAACGAGGCTCTACAAACGGTTACCCCAGACATGTGGAAAAATAGTGTTCGACATACTGAGCAAGAAATTTTTAAATGGTATGAAAGAGAACGAATTTTTGATCGACCAGACATCGAACCTTTAATAATCAACTTTGAGAGTGATGAAGATTCAGATTCAGACAGCGCTGAAGAAATAAACTCCGACTAACTTTATTGTACAGAAAAAGCTTACACCAGTAGCTTACCTAATTTTAGAATGCATTTTTCTGTATGAATTCTGTAATATAAATACCATGCATAAAATTTGGAGGACCCCATTTGGATTTTTATTCAGTACCTTTAAGCTATCGATTAAATATGGTAGTTTCATAGTGTCATCTGATCAATAATTGTCATACTTAATGATTATGCAAGTACAGATCTATAATTTTATTATACTATTATTTTTGTTCTCATTTGAGGTTAATATTGCTTATAAACCTAGATATGTAAATAATAAATTTTATTATTTTACAAAAAGTTTGGCAACAATGTAAATTTTTCAACACACCCACCTTGATGACGTGCACGCCACTTTGTTTGGCGTTGACTATATACATATTGTAGGGTTATTTATAAAATGGCACATCAGGAAAATAGCCTCATCCGTTTTGTAGGAACACACTTAATCAAAATGCTTCCTCACTATGTTGAAGGAATGTGACTGAACTTCTTTGAGGCATTGTTGAATATCCTCCTCCAATACACTAGTATCTTATAGATGAACAATTCCATAAAAGAAATCTCTTCGTGCTAATCACTAGATCTAGGGCGTCAATTCTAATCTGCAAACAAGAGAGAACACAACCAAGAAATGTCTCATGCAACAATTAATTTAGGCAGAAAGAGGCCCATCTCAGATGCTCTTGCATTGAAGGAGGAAACCCAATACTCTCAGACACATACAAAATGACAATGGAAAATTTCAACAGAGTGCAAATGTCTTGGTGAAGATGTGGCAACCATTAGCCTGATGTGCCATTACATATATAACAATGAAATGATAATTTAAAAAAGCATTCAAGTATTGTGTGATTTTTGGGACTCCCTTTGTTAGTTACTATGGAGAGAAGAGGCTACTGAAAAGTTTATTTTTTTCTAGGAGTGTAAAATTTCTGCTAAATAATCTGACAGTGTTAGAAATTTTGCAACAAATCAACAAACATATTAGTTCAAAAGTGAAGGAAGAGCCACCTAGCCCAACTACAGCAAAAATTACAACTAAACAGAAAGCCAAAGGAAGACGTTAACAATGCCTAAGAAGAAAGATAATTTTCATTTGAAGTTAATAGAACATGTTTATGATCAAATTCCAGCATTCACAGATATTTTCACAGAGGAATCGTTCTATATTTTTGCTGCTTCAGTTGTGATAAGTACTATTATTGTTGTTTTTATTATATCAAGATTTGTTACCATCAAACCTGTAGAACTTTAGGTAAATATATTACTATTTGAATTGTTTAACACAACATCCATGTAATTTTTGTTCTCATGTTATAAAAGCTTTTGAAAATGTATTGTATCATTTTTCCTGCTATCCATGCTTTTATTCTGCAGATTTTTGTATGCACCTACCCCAGGCGTAATTTGCGCTTATGCCCCATAGTGTGTTAGAAAACACGGCACTTGGCGCCTTCTAATTTAACGCTGCGGCCCAGAACCGCTCGATTAACGCCCTAGATAAATAAATAACTATATTGAGTTCACCTTGTTATAATTAGGATCAGATCAAAGCTACAGCGGAAAACTACGTGCAAGGCTCTGTGTTAAGGCTATGGAGTTTGATTAAAGGATCAAGGCTGGACACAGTGCTTTATAAATTATATCGGGGGGTCTTAATACACTTGGCTAGAATATCATAGCTCACTCTTGTCTGTTGAAACGGATTAGGTACTCTGAAATATCGTTGAGCTATCATTTAGTACCAATGTACTTAATTTTGTCAGATGTCCAATCCTGCAAGACAATCATTCAAACATTGAAAAGCTAGTCTGTTATGTGATAGTATGCCACCATTTTTTGTATTTGAACTTTTATGTGCATGTACATGTATTAGTTGATAATAATAGTTGAAATTAACTTTATCTAACTTATGTCAATTTATAACATGATTCAGTTGTTCACTTTATTTTAAAAATTGATGTTATTGCAAGGTATAGTTTTGAGATTGTTTCATATAATCGAGTGTATCATTAGTAGCTTTATGCATAGACAGCTATTTTTTGAATCCCTATTATGAAAGAAGTTGTTTTTCTGTTGTAAATATTTTCTTTAACAATGTCGATTTCGAAGTCATTTTAGTTTGATTCCTAAAATTTTCTAGGTACCTCTTTGTAAGGTACTCATATACATATGTTACTTGAAAGTGTTGCTTCTAATTATTGACTGACGTAGTTTCATGTAGTGCTGTAAGATTGCCAAATTATTGGAAGTCTACTTAATTAATTCTTGTCTGATTTTGTTTTCCTTCTAATAAGAAATTCTGACCAGGTATGCGTCTACGCATTGCAGACAATATTGAAAGATATAATCGAAACATAGCTGATGTATCCGAGATAAATAGCCGACGCGGGAGTTTCGTATCTTGAAAAGTGACATTTCGTCGTTTTTTTGACATTTCGTAGGGTTCTTTTGACATAACGTAGGTTTTTCTACAATATGTTAAATTAGCACAAGCTGTTGTACACTTGTTGTGAACTCGTTTTGTAGCTGTACGTGTTGCTTAAACGTCAGCGAACAGGAATCAAACGTGGAATGAACTATTTGCACAGTAAAAACTACATATTCTGCAAGATGACATTTCGTTTTACGTTTTTTACATAATACCCCTGCCAGCCACAAACACTGCCTGTTTAGATGCTGCACAAGTTTCGATGCAATATTGCATTGGAACGAAGCTCACAGCTTATAAGAAACAGCCAAGAGCACAAACGTTCGTTATTCTACCTGTACCCTTTTAACACATGCCACATTTTTTTGACCGAGCGTCAGCTTCAGCTTCCACCAAAAAATTGGCCCTAATTATAATTAAACGAAGTTCTAGTTCCTGATCAGGAATGATATATTGGACGGTTTCTCAATACCTGCAATATGTTTGATGTTAAACCCTACTCACTCATTATGTTACCAAAACCGCATTTATTTGTTCTATAGTAGAACGGAATTATCGATCTTGAATCACTATCGTTACTAAGATCGCCACCTGACTCAATTAAAAGCCGTGTTTCACAATCACCATCTATTCAACAAGTACGACAATGATATGATCTCGTAGCCATAGATGGATGGAGGCGTGGTGTGACAACTGAAGCGTGAAGCTATTTTTTGAGTTAAAAGATCGGGTCCTGTACTGTAATGGGAATACGACTTTACGACGTTGGCTTATTACAGAAATATTGTGTTGTTCAATACGGTAACACGTTTTTCAATCACCATTGTAAGACTGAGCCTCTATCGAAGCTCAAAATGTCCAGAAATTTTGTGAAAATAGTGAAAAACGGCCGTCAAGTAGCGTAAAGAAGTACCAGGACCCTAAAACAAACAAAAATAGTCCACAATCTTTACAACTTTTTGCGTTTTAAAATTGCGTGTGTTATAGAATATATCTACATGTAAAATAAGTGTAAAAAAGTACCAGGACCGTAAAACCAACAAAAATAGTCTGTTTTTACTATATTCTGCTTTTTTAAATCCGGTGTGTACACAAAATAAATGTCTACGGGTTCAAAGTTATTATAGTAGTCCAAAGTAGTTTTTGAATACAGTAGCGGATTTAGAGGGGGGCGCCCCCCCCCTAGACGTCTGATACTTGCTTTTGTACTAACACCATTGTGTTGCTTTCTGAGACATCATGACGCCAGAGGAATACTAACTATAAGTTATAGCTATAGGAACTGAGCATTGCGATTTTTGGTATCTTTTGGTATTCCAAACGGTGTCCCTCTTCGACATCACTTACGTTTACAGCACAATTTTTACGATTTATACGTATATACGAGTATTGTCACTTGTGACAAATCTAAGTCTAAGCAATGTATCAGCAATATAGATTGCACTTAACAAGTGATTTATGTTCTGTTTGTTGCTCAATAGTAATTTGAAAAGTGTGACAAGCTTAACTGATTTTGTTCGGGGTTGGTGTTGCAGCGAAGCACTATTAGTCTAATCATATTAGACGAAAATACCCCTGGTTTGCGAAATAATTCTAAAGTCTGCTTATTGCTGCAACTTGCTCAAGGGGGTATTCAAAACATGGACGCATAAAATGAGTACACTAATTTTTGTTAGAAAACTTTTTATACGACAACAAAGAATGAGAAAACGTGTTTTTTTGGATTCAATCTAAATAATTGGTAGGGACGAAAAAATTCTTATAAGATTTTTAAGTATTTATGAGACCACACGTAAAAAGATCCGACTAATAGCAAAACAGTTATCGCCGAAAACCGAGGCAAACTGCAGGTCTTGGCACGTGTTGGTAACGTGACGACGGTTTCTTGCAGATATTTGAAATTCTGCATACTCGTAGGATTGGACCTTCTAAATAACCACAACAAAATTGGAGTAGATTGGTCAAGTAGTTTGTGAGAATTTCTAATTTTTTATCCCAAGACATCTGTTTTCCGGCCATCACTACTAGTTTTTTTGAGCAATATACATGGGTTAGTTTCAAGGGCATTTTATAGCAAAATACATTAGTTTACCTTGTCGTTATGAATCGAAAACTATTCCGGAAGATAAATGTTATTTTTATGCAAAACAAAGGATGGGTTACGTTTTTTTTTTTCTAAACAAATTCAAACATTTCGTATTTGTGAGTAATTCGCAACAAAAGATGATACGACACATCCGCTTTATTTTAAAATGTGTATAGTAACGTATGTATTTCGAATATCGTAGCGCATTTGCTCAATTACTCACAAATACGAAATGTTTGACTTTGCTTTGCGCATAAAAATAACATTTATCTTTCGGAATGGTTTGTAATTCATATCGACAAGGTAAATTAGTGTATTTGCTGTAAAATGCTCTTTAAATTAATCCTGTAAGCTCAATAAACTAGTAGTGATTTCCGGAAAACAGGTGTTTTGGGATAAATAATTAGAAATTCTCAAAAAACTACTCGACCATTATACTCCAATTTTGATGTTGTTATTCAGAAGCATGAATCCTGCGGATTTGAAGAATATCAAGTAGTTGCGTAAAATTATCGTCGCATTACCAACAAGTGCCAAAACCTGCATTTTGCCTGGATTTTGGGCCATAACATTTTTGCTATTCGGATCTTTTCATTCTTAGGTCTCATAAATACTTGAAAATCTGACATAAAAAGTTTTTTCGTTCCTGTCAACACTTTCGATTGAATTCCAAAAAACAAGTTTTCTTATTCCTTGTTGTCAAGTTTTTCCACAAAAATTGGTGTAACCATTTTATGCGTCCATGTTTAAGATGCGCCCTTGAACAACTTGCACCAATAAAACCGGACTTTGCAATTATTTCAGGGAAATTTGCTAATATGTTTATACTGTATGTTAGATAAACGCCTACATTGGAAATATACATTTATCAGATTTGCTTAGCGGTGCGCCTGTAGCCTGTCCAGAAAATGCGTCGATCGATGCTCAAAACCACGCGTCCCGCATTTCTTCCCGCGTCTGTTTCCATTTATGTTGCTATATTGGAATTCGTCACAGAGGTTCTGTACTACACGTGAATATGTACAGCCCTGTATTCCTGCTCTTGTTTCGTACAAACATACATTATCAAAATAATTACGATCTAACATATATAGTTTTTTACAAAGATTTCCAACATTTTTACATGCGTTCAACACCGATTCGAAAACTGAGAAAACAACAACTATGCCGTAAATCTAAGTTCGACAACGAAAGTCTGAAGAATAACTAACATCTATATTGAATTGCTGCTGATAGAAGTGCTTGATTGTGTCAGTATTTACATCAATTACTTGATATGTTAAACGGGTAGATCAGAGTATTAATCTTTAAGCTTAGTACACACTAGTAGACCCCGTTGCGCAATTTGTCTATAGGCAGTCTGGAGACGGTCTCAAGACACGATCTTAGATGGTCTATAGACATCCTTCTTTGTCTCGTCTAGCATCCATACGATAATGTGTATTTTTCGGTCTCATGTTCGTTTTCGCTATCAAAGACGTTGTTTTGTGTGGAATGGCTGGGATATGTCACTGGGTCCCTCAAAATGTCTTTTTTGGTTAACAGAGCAATGAAGTTTTTTATGTTTTAATCTTTAATATTATTACACTAGTTAATTATGAATGCCACGTAATTTTGTTCTCATATAATAAAATATTGCCTTTCTGAGAATTTCTCAGCGCTTTCCATACTTTTTTTGTTCAAGTTGGCATTGAACAGATAGAACCCAATGGATTTAAGGAGCAATAATAGGATACATTCTAGAAGTGCCACTGAGGTAGAAAAATTACCAGCCCCAAATATCGTTTGCACCTCCCCTAGACGAAATCCTGAATCCGCCCTTGTACGAAATGAACTATATATCTATAATGCATATCAATGCAGATGCAAAAGGCAGTTATTAATAGTATTTTATTTCGCAAATTACATTAATAAATCTTTGAAAGTATAAAAAATACATGGACAAATATAAAATATCTATAACTAAACTTTATAGAGCAATATCACGTAGATAACATATAACTACTGATATGCGGAATGCTATATCTTTAGGATGAATAATACCTATTGAAACAATGTCTATGGACCAAACCATGCTTACCATAACTTTAGTATCACGAATATATGGTGTTTCACAACTTATTCGACAAATTTTAACCACATATGCACCGTTACGAAAGAAGTTGATATCTCAAAAAAAAAAATGTAATAAAAGTCCTAAAAAAATTAAGTTATAAGCCTGAGTTTCAATAATAAATAGAAAAATAAATATTGTATTTTGCGTTCATCGTCGTGATATTAGAACACGCGTTAATAATTTATTGTAGCAAATGTTGTACCAAACAATTGACGAAAACAAAATACCAGGAATTTTTTGTTTTTTCATACTGATAAGAACGTGTAAATAAGGTTTAATCTGTATCGTGGGTGATCTGAATGAAGAACAGTCGATGTTTGTGAAGTTAAATAAGACAGTATTTTGCGAGTTTATGTTTATGGTGATTTATTAATGAAAATGGCACATGGGTACACTAATGAGGAGTTAGTGGACATTGTTTTAGCGAACGGAGAAGCAGCACAATGCCAGATACGCTGGATCGGGAGAGGTGGACCAATTGCATGGCCTCCACGGTCTCCCGATCTAAATCCTCTGGACTTCTTTTTATGGGAATACTTGAAAAACGAGGTATACCGTACTCCAGTTCAGAATATTGAAGAATTGCGTGACCGAATCACAGTGGCTGCCGCTAAAATTTGAGCCTTCAGGCACAGCAGGAAGGAGGTGTATTTGAATTAGTGCGCCGAAATTGGATTAGACGCGCCCAAGATTGCATTGCAGTCAGAGGAAACAATTTTGGACAGCTTTTGTTAGTAAGTGAACTGTTAAGCTGTATTATTTTATTATCTCGATTTCTGTAGGACTTTTATTACATTTATTTGAGAAATCAACTTCTTTCGTAACGTGCATATATGGTTAAATTTTGTCGGATAAGTTGTGAGTATATTGCATTGTTTGTAAAAATTTTACAGCTAGCACTAACTAGCTTCCGTATTTAATTCGGAGAAAGTAGACAAAACAATTTTGTTCATGTCTCATTCGGTTATTATTCTTTGAATTCTGATTCGGAATAGCCAAGGAATATCAGACGGGCCAGGTGGTTACGTGATGTATATTATGAATAGATTTTCCGGAAGTCAAGTCCAACTTTCATCTAGGCTTCCTTACGCTCTGGGGCCAAAGGGGTAAAATAACTTTAGCGCCCGCTATCTTTAACTTGATCTATGTCCATTGATTACGAGAACAATCTATGCTTATTTGTCGTTATTGCTAGACGAACTAACATCATTTGGCGATGTGGGGCGGTGTATTCATGTCCATTGAAACACATCTCTAAATTTTCAACTCGGTCAGTAGCCGGTCGTATATAAAATTTTGTATGTTTCTGGAAAGTAACAAGTACTTATAAACTTGAGGGAAAACCTAAAATCTCGTTTCACACACATGACTTGATGTTACTAATGCGTGGCTCGAGTATAACATCCTGCATAATCAATAGAATAATACAAAGAATACTAATAATTAAATCACAAGGTTGTCATACATAAAAATTATTCAGGCAAACATTGCATGATGGTATCAATCTTACTTTCTAGTTCCGACATCTTCGTCAAAACCTGTTCGAGTTTCTGAAGACAAACGCTTTCCTGTCTGACATCCTCGCTTTCTTCACGTTTCATTCGCACAATACTGTTAATTTCCTTAACAGCTTCTTTGTCAAGTTTGATGTGATTGCAATACCCAAAGCAACAAGAGCTGGTAGAAACACTGATTTCTCCACCTTTATTTGGATATGCGGTCAATTTGAATTGCTTACATCGTGGAAATAAGCAAGCCTTTTCGGCTAGAGGTTTCAAAACTATCAGATTCCAATTACTGCCTGAGGTACAACAAAACAGGTCCTCGAATTTGGCCAGCATGTTTTTTGGCAATATGTTGCCAAGCAACATTGTTTCCACATAGTAGATATGCTGTGCTCTAGCAATATGTCCCACCAGTTCTGCACTGCTTTTTATCATTTGCGTGTCGCTAACAGCCAAGCCGTTCAGTAGGTTGACCAATATGATAGCGATCATGAAAATGAAGAGAGAAAATATAATGATACTTGTAAAAGGGAATGTGTGGAAATTCAAGTTACTAGCATCAAATTCACCAGTTAACATGACGATTGTTTTGAATATTGACTTTCCAGGGTCAGTGAAAAAGTCTTCACCATCTTCTTCTGGTGGATTTCCCACTGTGGTTTTTGAAAATATAATGTAGAAGCTCAACGCAAACGCTACGATTAGTAACGAGTACCAAATCAAAAATTTGAAAAAGTTGTATGACACTGTTCTAAGCATCACTACATTTGTTGAAAATCTCGGGTGTTGACCTAGCATAAGAACCAGCTCAAATGCTGCTAAAAGTATGGATATGGCTGCAAGAGGCTTTCTGGTATTTTCGTCAGGCGAATTTGTAAAAATTATGGCACCCGTGATGAAAATAAGCACAAGCTCTATGTAATTCTCGAAACTTTTAAAGTATTTTCCAGGAAAAACTGCCATCTGAAACAGTTCTCTAAAAATGAGTATAAAAAATGTAACGAAAAGCACAGGTATGGAGACGGTGACAAGAAATGATTCAAACGATGATTTTTCAGTATGAGTGAAATTGGCATAAGAACAGAATATGTAAATGACAAGTGAGAAGAAAAATGCAAAGTAAAAAGCTAGATTAACGGTGAAGATCCATCGTATCTTATGCCACTTCATGAAGAGGAAAGTGACAATGACAGGATGGGCAAGCAGGTGTTTGAATTCCGGTGCTTGGCTCATATATGCGATTACTTCAGTTTCAGCAACTAATTCCTGCATTACTGATTCGTTTAGGTTTTCTTCTACGTCTTTTCCAACATTTGATATCTGAAATTACAAAAACAATAATGTTTTCATTGGAACCAATCTTTAATCATTTCTATTCTTAAGACTAGTTAAGAACTTTCAAAATATTATGACATTAAGGCAGGTATTTTGAGGCGCAGAACTCGAACTTGGGCATCAAAAATACGTGAAGAGTCGTGAGTCAAAATCTGAAGTCGTTTTGGATTTTCTGTGGGTCCAGGCGTCAAATTTAAAATCTACACACCCAATTTGTGTAGGAAAATACTAGGTCAAAATTTCCGTTTTCGTGTTACATTGTTACAAGTGAATAGAATTTTGTATATTTGAGTAATTTGAGGCGCTGAAATGGAACATCATCACAAAAAAATTCTGGAAACATCGTGGGCCCAAGCTTGAGGTAGGAAATCGCTCACTTGAGCGCGCAATTGTCACAAAGGAAGCCTTAAAGTATTATATGGCAATTGTTTCCACTTTTGTATATTGTTATAATAGCTCTTAGAAGAAAACGTGATGTTCAAGCAAGAAAATAAAGATATAATTGTATGCTTACGAAAGAGAACATTTTCTTTCCAATAAACTTAAGGATAAGCTAATGAGCTACTGTGAACGTATTCAAACCTAGTAACACACCTTATTTGAGGTTGGTGGAATCAATGTCCGATAATTGAACGTCACACTGAAGTCTTCCTTGTACTTCTTTCCTGATTTGTCAAATTCTATGCACCTATTTAAATGCCTTTCAAGTATTTTCGGTTCGATATCGTGCACTGGCATCACACCAGACTTATTCTTCGAGCCCAAGGAAGCTCCCAAATCCAGTAATTCGTCGATCCTTTCTTGATCTGAGTATCTGATAGCATAATGCAGGGGAGAATTCTACAAATGAAAAAAATACAGGTTTAGTCTTTAGGGCGTGCAGATGCAACATTTGTGTGAGAGTATGGTCGAAGTATACTAAGTGACATATAAATCCGAACACCCAGTTTAAATGGTTTTATTTTAATAAAATTTTGTATAAGTACTTAATGAAGCATAATAAGTAAATGATAAAAATTTCAAAATGATTGCACTGCTTTAAAGCCCTTTTGGCCTTTAATAATGTGTGGATGCAACCTGATGTGCTACGCATTCTCTAACGCGCCTAGGCATGCTTCTGATCAGGTGGTCAATGTCCTCCTGTGGTATCTCATTCCAGGCAACCACCAACTCCTCTCGAAGTGCTTCTAGAGTCTGAGGAGGACGTAGTGTGGAAAATGTTTCGGGCCTTGGATGTCGCATATTAGGGTACCATTGCTTATAAATGCGAGATGCTAGGAAACTATTTATTTGGACTTCGCCCAAAACGAACACCATCTTCTTTAGAAAAATTCATTTTCAAACACGTTTTTATTATAATGCTCACAAAGCTAATTGTGACAGTTTGTAACTAATCAACAATTTATTTGTTTCCAAGGATGATGCGATATTTTAGGGAATTAAGTCGTTCCATAAAAGACGTACTAATAACCGCGCAGGTAACACCTTAGCTCTAACAGTCTGATGAGAAAAACAAAATTTGGTTTATAAATGTTTGTTGAAAGTTGAACCCCAAAAAATTATTCAATGACCAATGTACTTGAACGCATTCATTCACATTAGCAATATCAACATGATCTTTTGAAAATTTTAGGTACACGACAAATGTGCACCAAAAAAATGTTTAATCGAAATACGAGTATAGAGGCTACCGGACATACATTATCTATAATTAATGTATGACAGCGATACTTGATATCGTCCCATGAAAAATTGAGTAGATACAAAAATGACTATAACGGAAAATGTATGTAATACTGGAGTATGTTATACGTATTACCATGAATTAGAAAAACCTCCCATAATAGAAGGAATGTATACTAAGTGACATATAAATCCGAACACCCAGTTTAAATGGTTTTATTTTAATAAAATTTGTATAAGTACTTAATGAAGCATAATAACTAAATGATAAAAATTTCAAAATGATTGCACTGCTTTAAAGCCCTTTGACCTTTAATAATGTGTGGATGCACCCTGATGTGCTACGCATTCTCCAACGCGCCTAGGCATGCTTCTGATCAGGTGGTCAATGTTCTCCTGTGGTATCTCATTCCAGGCAACCACCAACTCCTCTCGGAGTGCTTCTAGAGTCTGAGGAGGACGTTGCAAATTGAGCAATCTCCTACCCATCATATCCCACACGTGCTCAATTGGGGATAAGTCGGGAGATCTTGGTGGCCATGGTAACAATGTGACATCACTATGTTGAAAGAAGTCTATTGTGACTCTTGCAACATGTGGTCGGGCATTATCTTGTTGGAAAGTTGGATCTGCCAGGGTGTCAAGATAGGGTAAAAGATGGGGTTCTAGAACTTCGTGGATATAACGCTGCGCGTTCAGGTTACCTCTGATGAAGATTAAAGGTGACCTGGAACCATAAGCTATAGCACCCCAAACCATAGCTCCAACAGTGTGATGAACATGTCTTTCAACAAAAAACTGTGGATTCCTCCTTTCACCACGTCGCCTTCTAACCCTGGCACGACCATCGTGCATGCCTAAACAAAATCGAGACTCGTCACTAAAGACAATACTGTTCCATTCCTGATCCCAGAGTGACCGTTGTCTGCACCACTCAAGGCGATTACGTCGGTCACCTCTAGTTAAAGGAAGGACCCAGTGTGGCCGGTATGAAAACAAGCCAAAACTTCTCATTCGTCGGTAAACACTTCGCACGCCAATAGGTCTTCCGTGTTCTGCAAACCATTCATTTGCAATGGACCTGGCAGTGGAGAAACGGTCCCTTAAGGCCAATAATCTTAGGCGGCGATCTTCACGGTCTGTTGTTCTACGCCGGCGTCCAGTGCCCCTTGCTCTTTGCGTACGGCCTTCTCGAAGCCATGCCTGACAACACCTAACCACAGTGTCTACACTTCTTTGCACTCTAACTGCAATTGCCCGAAAAGAAAGTCCAGCTTCCCGAAGTCCCACTATACGGCCCCTATCAAACTCACTAAGTTGACGAAATCTTACAGGTCTCCGTACTCTAGGCATCGTAACCGATCGTAAAGGATGTCAAGAACCAAAATTCGCCAACGTTGATTCTTTACTGCGGCTGAAATATTCATTTTTAGAGCGTTAGTGAATTAAAAAAAAGCAGTATAAAAACCGGAATGTCCAACTGATAAGGCTGAAAATTTTTTCACTTGTTATTTACAGTAAGATAAATACATTCACCAACGTTTATTAAAATAAAACCATTTAAACTGGGTGTTCGGATTTATATGTCACTTAGTATATTTATGGCCACATCAGCGTGATGTGTATAATGGAGATTATACACCGGATAAACATTTTCACAAATCATTTGGCTTGTAAACTGGAATCTACGGTGCATGAAATAAATCATATGAAATATTATTTGGTAGGTGTTTGGGTGGCTAGGCCGTCGCGTCGTAAAACACTTTTACTTGACGTTGAAAGCACTCGTGTTGGCGAAACGTTAAGTAAAATGTCTTATGATGGCCGCGAAAGCCTTTTCCGCATTTCAAATCATATGAAAGTTGTGTATGAAAAATAGTATCACGCAAATGTCCGCATTTGGAAGCTGCAGAAACATGAGCCCTCTTGCACCGTGTCATCAGACTTTATACTTTCTGAAGATGATAATTATTTTTATGGCACCCAACATCAATAAATTTCACAGCATCAGATGTCTTCTGGAGATGTCTAAACGCAGCGCCGTCATCAGTTGATTGAGGTCTAAGTTCAGCGCAATTTAAATCCTCTGAGAAAAAAAGTCAGTTACGAACATTTACAACAGACAAATTAAATGGATTAAGTCAGTCAAACAGACCTATACAATTAGTCCACAGTCTTTCTTTCCCGGCCCTACCGGTAGTTACTGTCCATCTGGCAACGTTGTCCCTTTCCACATCTACGCGGCAGCGCCTAGCGCCGCTTCGCAGCAGCGAGTTATCGTGCGTGGTCCGTGTATATGCTTTTCACGCTGCTGTTAGGATAGATTAGATTGTAAAAAAGAGCAAAGCTTTTTCTTCCTTGGCATAGTAGCAGCCTTGAAAATTTCGAGCGGTAAGTTATAGACGGGTCAAGGATTAGCGGACAGAACGACGGAAATGAGTGGTTATCTCATTTTCGAAATTTTGAGGTAGGAAGTAAAAGTGATGGAAACCGTAATCAAGAGGGCTTCGGTTTGTGCGAATCTCATAGGTAGGCATAACGCCCAACTTTCAATAAAAGATACCTCATTTCATTTTGAGGATATTTGTTGCTGATGAAAATTTAAATATACGTAAATGTTGGAAATTGTGAGAGCAACAATGCGGCCAATTTGATTCAAACAAAAGAATTTTGACCATATCTATAGACTGTCATCAAACGCAAATACTACCATAAAGCTTTGAGCACATGCTACTTCTTGTCTAATTGTTCTGAATGCGAGAAGTGTAGCCCAAAAGATTTAGGGAAGGCATTCTTCCTGCATTCAGTTCGACACATAGACGTTGCATTTTTCCCGAATTCTTTTGTATATTTCTGACATAGCAACTGAATTAAACAAGAACTAATGTGGAATTGACGTGTTTTTGGTTCAAGTCAAATCGTAATCATACAAACCATGCCACTCAACACTTACCTTTGAGTCATCCTGTTGATTGATAAGAAATGACATTTGGTCAGAATTGGATCTTAGCTGATCCATGAGGTAGCTGTAGCATTGCTGGTAGTCGATCAGACCAGGAAACTTATCATTTTCGAAATACTTCAAAAATGTGGTAAGAAGGTAGGCGAAAGGCTTCTCTGTTTTAGGGTGTTCACACAACAGCTTAAATATTTTGTAGTACCCCCTTTCTGCTACAATTTTGATCGGAGTTTCCGTATTTTTCGGAGTGATTCTGTTTGGATCTGCACCTTTGTCCAGGAGATGGTGTGCGGCTTTGGCCAGTCCTTTTTCGCAACTTAACTGAAATGGAATTTCACGTGAATGTTGAAATTAGACAAGGAATCCTGCGAAAAAAAGTATGGGGTCAAATAGACTAACATTGTATTTCACATGCAATTCCATCGATTAGATTAGGTTCCGTTTATTTCCAGACCTAACGCCATATGAACTATGATTCAAAAAATCGACCAAAGCAATTGACTGTGAGATATAGAGTCCGCCTACATGGAGCAGATTCCTAACCTACTGATTTTCCATGATTTTCTTTATTTTTGTGTATTTAATGGAAACTGTTAGAAGTAGCAGCTAAAACTAAAATGGGACGAACTCTTAAAAAAATGGCGTCAAGTAGATTGACTCTATACTTTCCTACGGCTTCGTTGGAGGTTTCAAAGAAAAGGTGCCTATGAGTCAAATCGCTCTAAAAGGCGAAACCCAATTGTGGTTCACTTAGGTACGATGAATCTTCGACCTCTGCCTATCAAACTATGTAGAACAAATCGATCAAATTTCCGTTTCCATAGCACATGTAGGGAAACTTTCTGTGACTCATGTCTATTTGGTGCTTAGTATCACTGAGATCAACAGCTTCTTAATGATAAAAAGTCTTTCACCCTACGTCCTACAACCGCCAAATTTCAACCCCTACAAAAAAATTTCCGAAAATGAAACGTCCAAAAACGAAGATTAACCGATTTTTATTTTTTCCGGGTTTTTTTTACCCTAGCTCAGCCACCGCTAGACCTATTTTCAAAAACTATAAAGCTTTTTCATCCTGGGCGTAGTAGTAGCCTTGTGTGAAAATTTCATCAAAATCCGAACGATATACCTGCACTTCTCAAGTTATGAGCGATTATAAAATTAGCGAATAGAGCGACAGACAGACCGACGGTAATGAGTGACATGGTTTTTCGTGATGTACATGTCATATAACAGCCAAATACTTCCTCGCCAGTTTTGAAATAGGAAGTAAAAGTCAACTACGCTCAAGCACTTATTATAACAAAAAAAGAATGGGTTAAGTATATAAATATCGAATAGGTATGTTCTCCTAAATGAAGAATTTTCATGAAAGAGTTTTTGCTTGCACCAACGCTGTCAGATCGAGAAAATGTGCAAAAAATGGTACAGTGGAATCCACTTATACTCGTAATGAACTTGCTTATAATGGAAACGCGAATATAATGAACACAATTTAAGGTCCTATAAATAATTGCATGTAAAATCCTCGGATATTATAGACTCGCTTAAAATAGACCCTCGCTTATAGCGGACTATTTTAATCCATTATATGCGAGCTGTTTTGGTAGTTCCCCGAAGAAAATTTAGCTAATGCAATCGTTTACGGCGGTTTGGCTTCGCAGTTTGCATTCGAACTTGACCACCAGTGTTATACTGTATTTATTAGAGTTATAAACATGTCGAAAAGTGCGAAACGTTCATTCACTTTGCACTACAAGTTCACAATAATTAGTGAGCTTGAGCAGGGTTCATCTCAAGCAAATAATGTGCTCGTATGGCTATAAAAAAATCCACTTTGTCAAATATTTGGAAAAACCGTAACAAAATTAAAAATGACTGGAAATCAAATAGTCAAAAGAAAAAATGCGGCTATCGCTGCATCCCCAAGTCGAATGGCTTCAACAAAAGCGTGCTAATAATTTTCCAATAAGTGGACCTATGCTACAAATAAAGGCTGAAGAATTTGGGAAATTGATTGGAGATTACTTCAATTGTAGTTCCGGTAGAGAGGTTTAAGAAAAGACATAACATTGTTTTTAGAAAAATGTGTGGTGAGTCAGCTTCAGTTGACAAGAACGTTAGCAATGACTGGATTTCTCAGGTTTGGCCCGTAATATCCAGTGATTATTCAGATGATAACATGTTCAATGCAGATGAAACCGGGATATTTTATAGAATGCTACCAGATGAAACTCATAAATTAAAAGGTGAAACTTGCAATGGAGGGAAACTATCAAAAGAGCGAAAAACTGTTATGATTTGTGCTAATGCTTCTGGTACTGAAAAACGGAAACTATTGATAATAGGTGAGTGAATGAATAGAAATTCATGTTCTAATTTTTTTGATATTCAATGGCAGTGCTGCAAAGAATTTATGACCTTTTTTTATTTCAGGGAAATTTAAGAATCCCAGGTGTTTCAAAAATGTTAAAACAATTCCCGTCAATTATGTTGGAAATAATAAAGTTTGGATGACTTCAATTTTCGAAGAATGTTTAAAAAAGTGGGACGCTGAACTTAAGAAAAATCGTAAAATTTTGCACTTGGTCGATAACCCGCTCATCCAAATATTTCACTTAATAACATCAACCTTTAATTTTTTCCAACCAATGTGAAATCAGTTCTGCAACCAATGGACCGGGGTGTCATTTGGAGTCTTAAACTAATGTATTGGAAACATATGTTGATGAAAATTATGGAGCTTTAAGAATATGTTAACATTACCAAAACTGTCACCGTTTTCGATGCTATAAATTTGCTTACTATTGTCTGGGAATTGGTTACTCCAGAAAAGATTCATAATTGTTTTCGTCATGCTGGTTTGGTGAAAAACAACTGAAATAGTCAACGATTTTAATCCAGAAGATGAAATTCCATTAAGTGATTTACTGAAAAATAATAGTTTACTGAATATAGAAAATTTTAATGAGTATCATTTAATAGCAACACAGGAATTGTCAGACTCCTATTTGATTAATGAAGGATCCGTTGATAACGAACAGGATGACGAACTAGAAAACAACAATGAAGAAGAGCTTCCAGTGACAACTAAGGAGGCATTAGACTACGTGAAAAAGTTGCAATGTTATTTTCAGCAAGAAGAAGACAGTACGGCCACACTTACAAATTAAATAAAATTCAACTTACTGTTCTAAATAATTATACAAAAAAACAATCTGTTCAATTGAAAATTACCAGCTTTTTTACCAAATAATTTACGGTTTTCACACATACCTACTCAGTACGTATGCCTGTAATACGTGTATCAGATTCTGAAAAAATGCAAATTTCATAATTACGTATAACTTTTTTGTATGTATCTTTATATAATACATGTTAAAGAAGCACATTTTAAGCTTTTAATATGTTATTTCTGCTGCTTTTTTCATAAAAAAAGTGTTCCTTTCAAGATGGTCATCCGCCTATAGTAGACTATTTGTCACAGTCCCGCCGAGTCCATTATAAGCGGGTTGCACTGTATTTTTAAAATCTTCAAATTTGATAAAATCAACACACCCGCTACAATGAATGCGTTTCAGTTTCAACTTCTATTATCCAGGTTTTGAGTTTCTTGAAGCGCTTGTAAGAATCACATTTTTGAAAGGAATAGGCGAAAGTATTAAACAGTTTGAGGAGGAACATTTATGTTTAATTTTCCATGGCTTGAAGTCTAACTTCAAAAATTAGTACCTGTAGCAGAGTATTGGCTCCATCGTCAGCGTCTACTCTTTCGATATCGCCATTTCTGTAGTTGAGGAACCCATTCTCGTTGCCTCGTTTTAGACATTCAAACAGTACTTGGATTTCATCAGTTTGGACATTGTTATTTGTTACCTCTCCAGGCAAGGGACCGTCATACAGCTTTTCGCTTAAGATCAGATCCCTTGCCGTCTTCTTGTTTCTTAATTGATGAGAATCTAGATCCACCTAGAATTACAAGTACAGGGGCTTGATTCTCAATGAATTTTCACTGTTGAAATCAATTTCGATTACGCGTTCCCGTCATACAGGGTCCGGCAGAGAGGATGGACGGTTTTAAAAAAATCATAAAATTGTTATTTTTTACTCGAAAACAAATTTATTGATGGAATCAGGTTCACAAGGAAATAGCATTTGAGACAGTCAAGTGTGGAAAATCACATCAGGCATGTGGTGGCCGAAATCGTTGATGCAGTGCTGGAGGCGTTCTTGGAAGTTCGCGTAGACTCTCTCCAACATCGCTCTCTCAACTTGGGCGACTTCCACGCGAATTTCGCGGAGATCCATATGCAAAATTCGCCTTACCGAACGATCACTAAGGCGAAGTGCAGCAGCATGTTTCCGGGCAGATCGAGTCGGACTGCGAAGAAAGATCTGTCGAACGCGTTCAACATTTTCAGGAGTTCGAACTGTTCGCGGCGCTCCTCTTGGTCTTCTGTTGATCAGTTCACCATGCCTGCGAAGTGATTCAACACAACGAAGGATGGTGTTTCGAGAGGGAACAGCTCTATTCCGATGAATGTTGAAGTGGCGACGAAACTCACGCTGTACGACGATGACTGACTCATTATTTCGGACGAAACAATCATAGGCGAAAACGCGGTGCTCCACCGTCCAAGGCTCCATAACGACAACTGGTAAAATAATGCTAGGCTCTCACGAGCCAAACCGCACCATGCCCACCTCTCTCGTAGACGGAGGCGGAGAGTTCTACCCATCCCAAAAACGTCCGTCCTCTCTGCCGCACCCTGTATATAAATGATGGTTTTTATACCTGAATCTAGCGATCTTTTATAGTCAAAGTATAGTGGCATTGTCAGCGCCATCATAGTGGATCAAATACAGGTACATGACGGCAAGGCGCAATCAAAATTAATTTCGACGGTCGAACTTCAATTAGAATCAGGCCTTAGGATTGTTAGGTATGAAGAGCGTCACAATAGGTAGATATTTCGGAATTTTGTTTTTAAATGAAACCAACTATTTTAATAAAATATGATTATACTATCAGAATGTAGAAGTATAAGAGCTACGTTTCATAAAAGATATTCTTCAGATGCTCTCTTCAGCTGTTTCTATAGATGATCATTGACCATTCTTCGATTGAACTTTTCAGTAACTTTTTGGCACAATAACCACCAATAACTTGATAAACGTGTTGTTTAAGGATCATTAATAAGGTACCTGTAGCAAATAAGGCCATGCACCTAATAAGGCCATGCGTCGATTTCTCAGAAACTATCAACATTTAAAATTGAAGATTTCTGCAGTTCTACAAATTTATTGAAAGCAGTTAGCAGCCATACATTCAGCAGCTGTGGAGCGACGCTAGATGGCGGAGTAGCACAGCGTCGGGTTTCAACATGTGCCTTATAAAATATCTGTTTTGAATTTGTCTCCGTTTTTGCATGTTAGTCGGCTACTTTTTGCGGAATCTAAGTCTATAAGGCATATATGCAGATAGTTATTTGCTGTTGCCAGGTTTTGAATGTTTTCAATTTTGTAAATTGTATATTTAAGATTATATGTGGGAGAATAAAGACGAAAACTGGGACTGTCTCATATGCGATAAGAATGAAATACGTGACATGCGTCTGTGTGTAATATGCTTGAGATATGTCCATGAGAAATGTGTAGGCTTGCTTAGAGGCGATAAGGTATTATTTGTTTGTCTTCAATGCGAAGGCAAAAACAAGTTGTTTTTTTACTTGAAATCTATCTGGATTTAAGAATTATTTATTGTTGTTAATTAGAAATATAACTTCGATTATTCAACAGTTTTGTTTTATATTTTGAGCGTGGCTTTATTAAAAACTAGATCATGGCCTTATTTGGATACCTGGGTTCCTAATAAAGCCAACGGTAGTGTTTCAAAAAATATATATTTTTTATATCAAAAGAAAAGTTCTCGGAGCCCTCCGATACAGCTTCTTCACTGAACATACCTATAATGATACCTTAAAAATTTCATGATCGCATCGCAAATATTTATGAAGTTACAGCTATACAAACGTTAACGTGGCCTTATTTCGTACATGTACATTATTCTGCGGATTGTTTGGATAGACTTTATCCGTGAGGAATTTCCACATAAAAAATATCTGGGTTAGATTGCTTGTACTCGCAGGCTGGCGGAAATCATCATTGCGAGAAATCACGGGAACATCAGAAAAACTTGTCCATGACTATTCCAAAATTTCCCTCTCCGTATGACACCAGACTCTATCATGTTGGAGGAACATAATCTCGTTGGGAGCGTTCAGCCTTCGTAAAACGGTTCAGCAGTGCACCGGTTTTATGCTGAACAGCCGTGGAATAGCTTCGATAGCACCATTGATCAACATACTATCAAATCTGACGCCAAGTGAAAACTGCTGTCAAACTGACAAGAAAAAAACAAAGGTCAATCGTGGACATGTCCGCAATACAGGAACGAAATCAGAAACAGATGGATTGGTAAACCGATTTCTGCTTAAATGGCTTCATCAGGCCCAAATGGATGTGCATCGAAAACTCCGAAGTGAAAATATATACTCATCACAGCTGTAACCTGAGGAAAAAAGCGGTCGCCGTGAACATTTACCGTTCCACAATGGTAATTTTTGTGGAAAGAATCAGATTTCCTTTCTAGTACGCTTATAGAATTTTTATGCATTTGTCCGTGGTAAAACGAGCCATAATTATTATAATCCTGAGTCTCTAGATGACCCATGTGCAATATACTTCAAATGCTTAGGTTATAAGTCGTCTAAAAGCGGCACAATCTAAATCTCCAATTCCCCACTGGGGCACCCTATAGTTAGGTTTAGTCATTGCATTTCGCTTTTTATATGATAAGACAAATACTCTTTTGCTTTTAAGACAGAAGATAGAAACATACTTTATACGTCACGGACTTTTTTAATATGCGCATATTTTTGTATAGTGGATACCAAATAAAATCCGATGCACGTCATAGGTGATGTCATTCATAAAAATCATGGTTACCAACAGTTGACTACATTCAATGTGACATTTCTACTTGAAGTTTAAATTTCCCCGTCTCGATTCGGTTGGTAGTGCCGTGCAGAGAAATGTGAGGTTGCCACTTCTCATTTGTTGACATCAGTTGCCATTGTCCTTTTGTCGTACTATTAGTTCTTTATTGTTTAGTTTGTGAGTTTTGCGCTATTTGAGCCTTGCCAATTAAAAGTTGTTCTTCTCAGAACAAAAGTTACTGTGAAGTGGTATAAAGTATCCAAAATGCCAAAACAACTTAACAGTCGGTGTAAAGAGCTCATATCAATTCTGGCAACAGCGCACAGCTCCAGATCGATGACGTGCATCGGGTTTTATTTGGTATCCACTATATCAGCTTTCGCACGACTCTGCAAATATCTTTAGTAAAAATGTGTTTTCCAGACTATATCTAAGCTCAGGTTAAATAGTTGAGGTAAAAAACTCAAATATATATACTTTAAAAACCCGCTGAAGCTAGTGAACTCGAACAAATACTATTTAACGCAATGAAACCACACGGAACGCTATTCTATAATAGTTACCCTCAATCCAGTGCCATAAGTGGCATGTAGATATATAGTGGATACCAAATAAAACCCGATGCACGTCATCGATCTGGAGCTGTGCGCTGTTGCCAGAATTGATATGAGCTCTTTACACCGACTGTTAAGTTGTTTTGGCATTTTGGATACTTTATACCACTTCACAGTAACTTTTGTTCTGAAAAGAACAACTTTTAATTGGCAAGGCAACGATTCAAAGCTCAAATAGCGCAAAACTCACAAACTAAACAATAAAGAACTAATAGTACGACAAAAGGACAATGGCAACTGATGTCAACAAATGAGAAGTGGCAACCTCACATTTCTCTGCACGGTACTACCAACCGAATCGAGACGGGGAAATTTAAACTTCAAGTAGAAATGTCACATTGAATGTAGTCAACTGTTGGTAACCATGATTTTTATGAATGACATCACCTATGACGTGCATCGGATTTTATTTGGTATCCACTATATATATAGTGTGTGCGCTGTTGCCAGAATTTGCACATTTTCTTTTAAGCAAATAAATTTAATAAAATAAATTGTTTATATATACCTACCATTTACTATAATACCATTATATTAAAAATAAATAAACTTGTTGTAAAATTAAATTCCTTTCTGAATAAAAACACCTGATTTTGGTAGATATTCAATGATATGAGCTCTTTACACCGACTGTTAAGTTGTTTTGGCATTTTGGATACTTTACACCACTACACAGTAACTGTTGTTCTGAAAAGAACAATTTTTAATTGGCAAGGCAACGATTCAAAGCTCAAATAGCGCAAAACTCACAAACTAAACAATAAAGAACTAATAGTACGACAAAAGCACAATGGCAACTGATGTCAACAAATGAGAAGTGGCAACCTCACATTTCTCTGCACGACACTACCAACCGAATCGAGACGGGGAAATTTAAACTTCAAGTAGAAATGTCACATTGAATGTAGTAAACTGTTGGTAACCATGATTTCTATGAATGACATCACCTATGACGTGCATCGGATTTTATTTGGTATTATATCTACTATAGTCGAAATCACGAAAGATGACGATTACGTCATCATTTTAGTCTGTAGTAAAGACAAACGACAGCGATTTGTGAATATTTTTAATGAAGTTTCAGATACGTTAGACAGAGACAAACATAATTTTATTGTCTAAACAAACTGTATTGCTAATTTGCATGTATACGACAAAGACAGACGATGTTTTCATGTTGCATGATCGATCATATTTGAAAGATGAATAGCTAGGTTATGTTAAAGCAGGTTAGGTTGTTTTCGAATAATACTTTGACATTTCGTGTTCCTGTCTTAAGGTATTCCACTCATAACTGTTTTTTTTTCAAAACAAAGACTCTCCACTAAAATTATTATTTCGTACGTCCATTGATTAGTACAATTTATGGTATGACGTAATAGTTATCTTTCGTGATTTTGACTATACCTACAACACTTACTTTTGATATAGGTACTTCCATTTCTAGAAATATTGTCATTGGTATAGCAAGAGAAGTAGAAGCTGCTCACCTGGAATGGACTTTTCTCCAATATAACCTCAACAACATCTCTGAACCCCTTCTTAGCTGCAAGCAGTATCGACGAAAACCCATTGTTATCTGTCTGATTAACATTGATCCCTTCCTCAACCAACAGCTGGACACATCTTTTGAATTCACCGCTCTTGGTGCTATCTCCATGCTTGATAAGCACATGCAAAGCATTGTTTCCTTTGGCGAGCACGTTGATGTCCCCTGGATGATTCAGGGCTTTTAGGATGACCTGCAGAGTGGTGCTATCCGTTTTGGCCGCGCCAAAGTGTAGTGCGGACCAACCTTGGTCCAATTCGCTAATGGTTGATATGTTAGCTCCTGCATCCACCTGTAGGGAAAAAATGAGTTTTATAACCACTAATAGTAAATATAAGCAGGGTGTCAACATTGTGTGATAATAGTTTGAAATTCCATGTATCACGATATATTCGTCGTATGTTAGACCGTAGATATTAACTGCCCATCAAGAAAATGCAAGACCAAAAAAATGCTGACAGGAAATAGAAATCTTGTCACGCATTCTACCAGAAACATATTTCTTGGGCTATAATTTGGAATTTATTCATTGAAAATATTAGAAGTCACACAGAAAGCATTCTTTACCCGACATAATTACTTTATGGTATACGTCCAAAACATAACATCTATTTTCAAAAATTTTCGCAAGTGGCGTGAGAAGTAAAAATATTTAAATAATCCGCGAACGATTTTATTTATCTGAACCAAAACATTTTTCAAGTTATAGCTGAAATCGCGCAGTAATGGTTACTGAAGATTTTTGTATTTTAGTCAACGAATGGTCATCTGAAATAACAGCTGATGAGGACTATTTCAAAATGTTATTTATGAAATAGAACCCCCATACTGACTAATATTTATGCATCCACATGAGGTGGCAAGAATTTGCACTCGTTAACATAAGGATTCGTGGTACATGAGATGTGGAGTATTGATTTTCTAAAGAATCCTTACCAATGCTTGGACAGTACCAGCAGTGACGTTTTCATCTGAACAAGCGATGAGTAGTATAGGCTTGTTATATTCTGGAGTGTAGACATAATTTAACAAATCCGGATTGTTCCTTAGCAGACGCTTGACGTGGACGATGTTGTTCTGCAGCACAGCTTCCAGCAATTGAGACTCTGGCGATGGACAGATGCTGTTCGTTCTTTGGAAAGGAGTTCTGTCATTTAACTCTGAAGACAATGGACGATATCCTCCTGATGTTGGTCTCTGCTAAAAAAAAAGAGTATACTCGTAAAATAACGTCAAGTAGGTTGAATCTGCGCGTTCCACACGGTACTGTCATCAGTCCCAAAAATGATTATGTTCGGCGTAAGTTAGTCGTAGAAAAATATTAACTACGAACATATATGACAAAAGAATAGAATGGATCAAGTCAGTTAAATAGGCCCGTACAATTAGTCCCCAGTCTTCACCTATTTGATAACGTTGCGATCTAGAAATTCATCCTTTGCCATAACAATGATCCAGCAACGATGCAATCACAGCTGTGCGCAGCGACCAGCTTCGCGACATATTTACCTTTCATTTTCGTTGCTCCCGACGCGGTCATTGAACATATTTCATTCTAAGCATTAAGGATAAATGTACCGGAAAATCTATATATGAAATATGTCAAATGGGTGCTTATAGAATTATCTGAATTATGCCATGCCTTTTTTTGGTTAATTAATAAAACACAATGATAAATACTATCTAACGGTTGGTCCAAGCAAAACAGTTGTCTAGTGGCGTGCAAATTTAGGCCCTAGCTCAATAAAGCGGATAGTAGGGGGGTTAAGAGCGCCAGTGACTTAGGACGGATTAAGCCATAATAAATGTACTAAACTAATATACCCTTGTTCTAAAAATGTATGGCAGCTCAAAAATAAAAATTATGATCAAAGTAATAGAATGTGCCATGTAGGCACTGCCCCCATATTTGAATACGTAGAATGTCCAATAAAATCAAGAAGTCTCTAAGAATTTCAATAAGCAATAATAAATGTATAAAGATCTATGAAATTGTTAATTAGAATGATATTTTACCTGTTCACATCAGGTTTTTTTTTTAATGGGATGGCTTCCACAAATTTGCAAAACTGCAAGAAGATGCAACCAACTGGAGGAGAAATGATGATGATTCTCTTCTGTTTCTATTGACTAATCGAAAGCAGATATTGAACGATCGTTATCAGTACACGCACGTGGTCCGAAGGTATATAAAAAAGAACTTACCGCTGAGGGTCAAAATCCCATAAAAAATGGAAGAGCACCCAAACCAAAATGACTAAACTTAAGTTACACAAAAAAAAGGGTGATAGTCCATGAATTGGCGCTTGGGGCCTAATATCCCAGAGTCCGGAAAATGACAAAACGGCCCCTGCACCACGACCTCAACGGAAACAGAAAAAAGAATCATGCAGAACACGTAACGTTATAGAAGAAGGTATCTAGTGGCCTTGAAGAAGATATGTTTTATAGGAAACCAACTAACGGAGAAAAACTGCAGAGTTTTTTGCTGATCGTCAACGCCATACTGAATCGCTGAGAAAGAAAGATATAATGCGAGTGAAATTATACAATCAATAAACTATTAAATTTGCCAAAAGAAAATCATTGAAAAGGGTTTGGCCTAGGAATGGGCACTCTATTATCGATGAAGAGAAATTCATATTATGGATAAGGGGCCGTTCAAGTATTACGTAAGCAGATTTATTACAATTATTTACAACCCCATCCCCCTTGTCAGCAAAAGTAAGCAAAGCTCTTACCCCCTCCCCTCATGCTTACGTAAACATTTGTCAATTAATGTATTGTTTTTTTTAACATTATAATTGTAACGTTATAATTATAATTTCAAAAATAAGAAAATAGATTTAGGATAGAGATTATATGTTACTGATACGGTATTCAACATAGAATAAAGGACAAAATATTATATCTTACTAACATAATAAACTTATTTTAAATTTTTGGTACATATATTAAATTCAAATTAACAATCTTCAGTCCATGAAACCCGAATCCATGATTCTAAGTTTTCGATGACATTGGATTGCTTCGATTGCTGATCAGTGTTGTGAGTTTGCTCGTTTTCATCGGATTTTGGAATGTCTACGTCCTTCTCATTGAGCCATTCAACATCATGGTCCTCTAAATTTTGAATAATGCACATCAGTTAATGAACTGCACGACGAGCAGCGACTCTTACAGGTCTAACTTTCCTATCAGTGTGCGTGTTTACTTTTTTATGGATATTTTCGATATGACGATTTAGTGACTTGACGGAAGCATGATAAAGTCCACACGTTTTGCATGTTCGACTTGATAGCCTCAATTTTACCATCGGACAAAAATAATCGTGGAGCATTTGCAGGAAATCTTTGAGTGAAGCACTTAAGCGTAGAGCTAAATTGACTGGAAGATTGAGACATTGCCCTCCTTCATCCAAAACCAAGTCATCAACGTTTGTTTTACTTTTACAGGTGGTGGAAGAAACCTATTGTCTAGTAATCTAAATAGGCCACTTCTTGGACGACAGCATTCTGTATTTCCACATTTTACATTTTGAAGCAAGTATTATCTCTCACGCACATGTTCTGAATACCATTTAATGTCTGGAAAATCAGGAAGATCTTGTTTACCTGCCCCAACATATTTTGCATTAACATTATAGCCATCAATTACCATTGATCTCCATACTTCAGCTAATATATTTCCTGCAAATTCGAAATTAGATCTTTCTAAATGTTAATCAATTGTAACGCCACGTTCATCCAAATGAGACCCAAAATGGTCATGAGGCAATGTTAAACCAACCAGTTCCCGACTAAGAGGAGCCATTCTGCGCTCTACTCTGTTATACGCACATCTTCCAGGAGCACTGGTAGCTAAAAACAATGCATCAAGATCATGTCGCTTAAAGTGTTGTATAGCAAACCCTATGACTTTTTGCTAACGTGGATTTTCATCTGGCCCTCCATCAACCGTCATGATTACCACTGGTTTTACTAGTCCATGGTCAGTTTTAGCTAATGGTCGAAACTCTTCAAGTTCGAGAAGCGTCTCGAAATCCTGGGCATGAGTATTAGCAGTAGATGAACTATGCTTTCCACTTAGAATAGCGATGTATGTTGGTCCAGAATATCCAACGGCTTGCGGTTGTCCTAGCATATTGGAAGTGATTTTGATACCAGCATAAACAGATGGTATTGATTTATGACGCTCAGCGATTACCCAATCGTGATCAGGCAATTTGATTCTATATTCCATGTGCATTAAAAGAGGTGCTTGCTTATTTGCCGCAGTTACGCCAATAGGGACTCGAGCTTTATCATCTTGAGATATGAAAAATACTTGATCTGGTCTAAGTATGGATGCTATGTTCTCTGAATAATGGATTGATGTTTCAGCGAACTTGCTATCTAAGTGGCTCTTGTGGTGATCAGTTTGAGCTCGAATGAGCTTAATAGGGACTGTCGATACATGTCTTCGTCCTTCTGCAGAATTAGATTTTCTGGGAATCAAACGAAGATATGTCCCACTGCGAGTAATGTCAAATCCTATTTTACGTAATTCTTGTGTGAGTTCAACAGTTTTTACGCTGCGAATTGATTCCGTTCGTCTTCTATCAAATAAAGCTATATCCGCGATTGTCTTCAATAGTAAATGTTGATTGCTTTCAAGATTAGGACAAATATCTTCTAACTTTCTTTTCATACCATCCCTGTGTTTCTTCTGGGCAACTGCGTTTTGAACCTTCCTGTTTAAAGACTGTTTTCCTGTTTTTATTTCCTCGCGCAACTTAATGATCTGTTTATCAACTTCAGCACGGCTTGGCATAGTATCTCTGGCAGAATAAAAAGCATTCAGATTTTTTTCGAGTAGAGCAATCTTATTTTTCATAGCTTCCTGAGAAGGTTTTGCTCTCTGTTTATCTGTATATTCATTAATTTCGCATTGCTGTTGTGGTTCATTACCGGGTTTTATTTTATCTTCTTCCTCTTTTTTAATATTTGAAGCTGACTGTATAAGTTGTGATTTTTCTGCAGGTTTACAGGTTGCCTAAAAATAAAAACTTTCTATGGCTTCTGCTAAAGATTCTCTTATTAAGCTACATAAATACAAAGTATGGCAATATATATGGTAAATACAAAACCCTATGGCTTTAAATATAATATGTTTAAACGAGCAATTCGTTTCGGTCATAAAATACAGGGTGTTAGATTTCTGTATATATGTATAAAACTAAAATCTTGTACTTTGTGACCAATTGACGGAATCAATCATAAGAAATAAATCTATAATATAATGAATATTACCTCTATACTTTGAGATAGGCCATAATATTTTCTAATCAGTAAAGAGAAACTTTTTGGCGATTTCTAATATTTCTAGTACTCATAGGTATACTTTATCTGAAGTCACTTGAAATAGCATAAAAACCTATGGTCGTCGCGTCCTTTGTAATTTCATGACGTATCATAGGCGTGCGGTCATTTATTTAGAACGATAATAATAATGTTTTTATATCACAATAAATGGATTTTACTATCTTCTTATTTTTTTGATTTGGGATAAAAAATACTTATATTGGGAGTTTAATTTATGTTGACTGAAAGTTACGAAATGGAAAAATTACAGAATTCCAACGTTTGACATAGGCAAATATTTACATAGCAGGCAGGTATATAAAAAGGTATATAAAGACTTACATTATAGGTATTTATATATCATCCTCGCCTTCGGAGCTGTCGCTAGTGTCATCTTGTAGAGGAATTACTACGGGATTTACAGGAGGCAAAACACAATATTCATTTTCTTTTTCAATAATATGCCTAGAACACTGCTTCCATAGGTCTGTGGCAGCAATATGAGATACTGCATCTCTTATTGTGGCCAATAGCGATTCACTTAATTGAGGGGTCTGATTATGTTTCCTTACTTTTTTTTTAAAGCAGCCCAGACCAACTCAATCGGGTTAAAAATGCAGTAATAGGGAGGTAGACGTAATACTTCATGGCCATTTTGCTGAAGCAGATTGTCACCAACATACTCTTTTTAAAATTTTTGTCTTTTAATAAGATCCAATAATATGGCTTTGGTTGATTTTTGTGGTATTTCCATTCCCTTATCCTTCATAAAATCAATAATGTCTTGTTTTTTTGTGCCTGTATTCGGAATTGTGTTTTTCTGTCGGGAATGGTATGGCGCATTGTCCATAATAATCA